TGGACTATTTTAATGCATATGCATGTAATGCAAAATATATTAATAGGGTGCAACTAATGCTAAGTTTAAACTGAAAACGGAATGAGAGAACACATACTCCAGTTTTAGCTTCTCTGCACTGACTTCCTGAAGCATTAACAAAATGATTTTAAAATGATTTTACTTGATTTTAAAGCACTTCATGATTTAGCACCTTCTTATCTATCTGACCTTTTATCTGATTTATTCCAACTTGCTCTCTCAGGTCCTCTGGTGGTACTCTGCTTAATGTATCAAGAATAAAGAGTAAAAAGTTTTGCTCTCTGTTTTTATGCATCGATGGCTTGGAACAGACTTCCTTAACAAATGAGAGAAGCTGCCTCTTAGATAGTTTTAAGAAGTAGCTCAAGTCCTACATTTATGATTTTGCTTTTAACTGATTAAACACACTTTAATATATGCTTTTATTTGATTTTACAGCCCTGTTTGCTACCACTTTCCCAGTTTTAATACCTGTGTTTTGTGCTTGTGTGCATGTTGCTATATGAGAAGCCATCTATGCCAAAATTGAATGCTTCACTTGCACATACAGGACATACATACTGTTACGCACATACATATACGCTCGCACATAGGTACATACTGTCATGCACATCAAAGATGGTGACTCGAGTTTGAGACTCGGACTTGAGTCCGACTTAAGTTGCACACACAGTGACTTCAGACTCGACTCGGACTCGATGTGTGGGACTCGTGAACAATGTTTAGTAAACGTCCGATGAGCTTACTGTTATTCCCCTCCCTGCATTACCTATAACCTGCCTACGTAACACGTAGTATCTGCTACGCGCAGCCACACATGAGAGAGGACAACAAACACCGACAGCTGCTGTGCCATTCACATTGGCCATCTAACGTTAGCTTGCTTCTTGCTTTAGCTACAAACTACCGGAGGTTTTGTCCGACTGTCGTAATGAAAATATGAATGAGTTTGTTTGCTTGCCAAACTTGTAGTGGTTGATTAATGTAATCATTTGCATCCTGCGGGCTGCCATCACATTAATTATTACCGTTGCCTGCAAACAGTTACAGGTTTATTGGTGATCATGTAATGTTACAGTTTTATTTAGTTAACGTTACACTGGTTTGACAGTCTGGGGTGTGTGTTGACTTACAGCAGTTAGTTCAGTATAAGCTCTCGTTAGTTTTAGACGCATTGTACATTAGGCTACATGGGTTTGCTCTGTGAAAAACAGGTTACAGAGTTTGTAGCATGACTACTTATGTTTATGTTACTGCTGGCGGACCCACGTGACTGGGTCCGAGGAGGGATCAGTGGAAGTTAGCTCGACGGATAAAGCTTAAAAAGAACTTGGTCATTCTTGAATTAAACTAGTGTAACTTAACGGACTGATAACTTTTAACAAAACAAAACCAAAGAAAATAAAACGCAAGTAAAGTTGCTGTTAAACGTTAGGAAAACTGAGGTCGTGGCACTTCGCGTGTGCGGCTTGAAAACGAACAAGCCTTTGCTGCGGCGGGTCGAAGTTCTTAGGGCGTTGCCGGGAGAGGGGGCACACTGGGTGCGTCAGAGGATGGCCTGTAATACTTATTTTGTCCACTTGGGGGAGCTCTGGTTACATGACGATAGCTTTGTTTCACCCTAAAACAATCTTCTGCTCAGGAGCTTTAGTTATTTAGTCAATTTAGTTATTTTATTATTAAATTCTAGCTGGAAAATTAATCGGGTATAGGATGCCATTTCTTTATCATCATTTCTAAAGGAAGTATTGTGAACAAAGCATTGATTACAACATAGAATGAATAAATGTCAGGGATCCTTGCTGAAAATTAAAACACTGCATAATTAACTTATTTAGATTCTTTTCAACAACAAATACACCAACATGGTAACATAACTATTCAAATCGAGGCAAACGTAATCAAGTAACTAAAAGATTATTTAATTAAGGTAATGCTTTGAGTTTTGAGGAGAGTACTCCTTCTTTGTTTACACAAAGGATTTCAGGGCAGTCCTCCTGTTGTCCTGGAGCTCCTCACGCCTGGGCGTGAAGAGGAGAATATGTCTATGAAGATTCTCAGTCATCCAGGTCATAGTTATCCAACGAAGGTTAAAATGAAGGGCAACTGAGCTTCAACCAAGTCCAGTTGCCCTTCATTTTAACGTTGGATTAGAGGAGAATATCCTTTGATGTGAGGTAATTAAACAAAGGAAGGTCAGTTGCCATGGTTACGTGTGTGGGGGGCAGTTTGGGGTTTCCTGCCCTCTCTTAAGAAGAGTTTTGATAGGCTGTTCAGGAGAACGCTAATCTCTGGTCAGTGTTCCTTTGTCATTTTAACAGTCAGGCACTGAGCGTTATCTCGTTGCGGTCAGTTTTGTGGCCAGTTTTACGATCAGACTGCCCAGAAACAGCACTTAGGGAAAGCGAACCTTTCACCTTTTCCTTTGGGGTCTCTTCAGCTGTCTGTTGACTTGATATCTCAACCCCTCCTTTTCTTTCTCCCAGGGAGAGAGAAAGAATTTGGAGTAGTCCAAATTTATTTGATATAAAAAGCACAAATCCACACTGTTGGTTCACTACAGATTTATTGTTGATCATGTAATGTTACAGTTTTATTTAACAATAGTTGATGTTACACTGGGTTTGAGAGTCTGTGTGGTGTGTTGACTTACAGTAGTTAATAAGTTGTCATTAACTGCATTGCACATTACATGGTTGTGCTCTGTAATTAAAAAACAGGTTACAGTTGCAGTATTCCTTATAGCTATGCAGTTTTATAAGCAGCTTGGGAATGTAGTAGGTGATACAACATTCATTATAACCAGGAGTGACTTGAGACTTGACTTGGACTCTTGCTCAGAGACTTGAGACTTGACTTTGACTTGAACATACATACATACATACATACATACATATTGTCATGGGTAAGTATGTATGTGTAAGATGAGGATGTGTATATGCGCGTGGTTAAGTATGTATGTGCGAGTTAGAGTATGTATAGGGTTTGATCCAGTGGTTAACACTATTGCCCTTGGTGTGGAAGACCCAAATTAGATTCTCACTCACTGCAAGAGTCGTTCTTCATACAATATGTCCTCTGTCCATATTTAGTAACAACTAAGTACTTTTTGGCATTAGTCTAATGCAAAAGTTTCCTTTACTCAGTCATACAAGTACCCACATGGTATTTCTGTAAGGAAGTAGGCACCCAAACTGAGGCCCCAACTGAACTGAACTTTATATAAAGTGTCCCCTCTGACTGGCTTGATTCCTACCTACAGAGGAGTATGGGGGTGAAACTCAAACTTGGTTTGTTTAAAGTGTCCACCCATATTTGGTAGAAATATGACTGAGGACACACAGATGCAAAATAGTACTTTATGTGGTAGTGGGTGAACCACACGCATTGCACATCGAGAAGATGCTTCCCGTTTGATTCACAGGCAGAGGAAGGACTAAACCTCACTGGGCTCCATTGAATAGTAGATGCAATGAAGATCTCCCTTTCAAATTCACTTGAATAAAAAAATTCAAAGAATGAAAACTGAAACACAGGAAGCTGTGTGGTCAGAAGTGCAGGGTTTAATCACTATCAGGGTAGCTTCTCTATAAATATTGCCACATATTTCTTGTGTGTTACTGAGTGATGCCAAATATTACTTTGAGGTCAGCATAAATTAACCACATTGATGGTTTTGTAAGCCATGTAGTGTCAGTATGCAGTATATAGATTGAGTGGAATATCAAACAAATTAGTTTTTATCTATGCAAAATGTACCTTATTATGGCATATGTAGAGACTTACGTTTTAACTATCTGCCGATAGTTTTCTATATTAATTGTATTGCCTAAATGTGCATCATAGGTTTATGATTCAAGTATTTCTGTATCAAATTATTATTTATGAGGTTATTACATGCATTTCAGTGAATTGAATTTACTTGTAGGTCCAGGAAATAACTCTTTGGTAGCCGTCTGATTCGGTGGCTTTTTGAGAAACATGTGGGATGTGGGAGGAGGTGTTTGTTGTATGAACCATATTTCAGGGAAACCAACACATTTTTACTATCTATACTTAGACATAGAAGTATTAGCTGTGTAAAAGTGGTCATCTGCTGCCAAACAGGAGGTGTGAAAGTTTTAGTGTTAAATGTTGTAGTCACACAGTTGTGTGCTGTGCTGTTCACTCATTCATGTGAATCAAATTAGTATTTAGTGTAATGACTTTTTCCCCTTCAGTGAAGATTTCGCTAATAATCAAGCGAGTGGTTGTCCTCTACAAAGGACAACCAGAAACTATTTATTAAAAAGGCCACATGTAACAAACAAGCAAGCGTCCAAATTTTATAATATATATTGTGTATTTCTATATTGGATATGGCCATTTTGACCAGACTACTGCACATTTTAATGTAATGTGCTTGTGTTATATGACATTATGCCATTTCTGTCATGCAGTTATAGCAAGATTCAAGTATTTAAATATAAATCCTTCATTTATTTTATTTATGGTACTAAATTATTGTAGTGACTTCTATATGTAAGAGCCTGCATGCACTCTGTGTTAACTATGAGTAAAATTAAATTATCCAGGAAAAAACACGCCACATCTCTATGATGAGGATAAAAATCTTTATTACTTGCTTCTACAGGGAGGACACTGCATTGACCAAAGAAAAAGCATTTTAATTAAAACGAAAATAATTACCTTCACATCTGATGAATATGAATATATCATTATGATCATAGATCACCTGATATGTAAAAGCTGTGCGACTTCACGTGACATTCTTATAACGGTTATATGTTTTTCCATAATTATGGTACAGTTTTCTCATAATTATGAAAATTTATTTTGTTCATATGAGGTATGAAGAAACATTTTAAAGAGTTGAGGTGAAGTTTGAACAAAATATTTTGTACATTTGCATCATAGCTTTAAAATAGCTTATGTTGTCCAAAAGAAATATTTAGAAAAGTGCAGGCCGTTATATAAAAATAACATTGCATATATTGTGCAAGAGCAAAACCTTTTTAAAGTGCAGCCAATATCTGCTAGATAACTTAATGTATAAGAGAAGGGCAAAAAAACATCTTGCTGGCTCTAGCACTTACGTGACATCTTTGGGAGAATCGTGTCTCTTTTAATTAAAATGTTGCACCCATCTCAATTATCTCTTTGCTTTTTGGCTTTGTGATCACAGCTGGCTGAGCGACTGGGAGCCTGTTTCTCGAGTTTTCTTCTCTGTACTTTCAGCAGCGTCTGCATAGGACAGATGAAGAGCTTTCCTGCAGATGTTCTTGAAGGTAGAGCTGGAGAAGTAGTAGACCACAGGATCCAATGCGGTGTTGAGATAGGTCAGGCTAATGGTGATGTAAAATGCGACGGTCAGGTCATCCAGGGCCAGGCAGATTTGAGTTTTTTGGAGGGTGCGAAGCTGGAGGGTCTTGATCCATATCAGCAGCAGCATAATGTTGCTCGGGAGGAAGCAAATAATGAAGACCACCGCCACCACTATAATGAAGCACAGAGCCTTCTTAATCTTAGCATGCTGGGCCAACTGTCTCCCTCTCAGGTGGCAAATAATGTTCACTGTGCAGTAGAGAATCACAAGCAGAGGCATTAAGAAGGAAAAGAGAAACACAAACTTATGCCAGGTCACATTATTTTCAGTCTCAACCATGAAGCTCTCACAGTAGGTTGTATTGATGTGTTTCAAAGTGAAGACTTGAGCTGTCATTGAGATGGTGATCAACCAGAGTGCGAGTGCTCCGCACATGGCTTTGGAGACACTCAGAGAGTTGATGGGATGATGGGGATGCACAACACGCATGTACCTATCCACAGCGATAGCCATCAAGAAGAGTGTGCTTCCGCTGCGGTTCATTGCCAACATGAAGAGGCAGATGTTGCAGATAGTGCCACCAAACATCCAGTGGATCTCAGAGATGTAGTAGCTGGCACGGAAAGGCAAGGCAATGTTGAGCAGGAAATCAGCCATCGCCAGGTTGAAGAGCAACACCGTGCTGCTCTTCCAGGGCTTCAGGTGGAAGCAGAAGACCCAGAGAGCCAAACCATTTCCAAGGAGTCCCAAAATAAACTGTATTATCAACAGTGGAGGGAGCACATTGGTCAGCACAGTCCCAGTGAAATTGCATTTCATGTTGAGTTACGTGCTGTCTTGCCGGCTGCAGATAGAAACAACCCCAGGAGGACTGTCTGCGTTCTTTAAAGGGAAACGTCTAAACAAAAAAGTGTTTGTGGTTTTGGCATTGACAGGAAGCCAGAGGGTTCTGCTTTTCACATGAACACACAAACTTAGATATCTCTATTACCCAAGCTTTATATATTTGTCTAGAAAGCTATAACAATTAATCAGAGGGGACAACAGCTAATGAACATGATCTGTTCACAATACCCATGCATGTGGAACCTCATTCACCGTTATATAACAACCACTAATAATTTCATTATATTATTGCATTAATATTCAGTTAAAAACAATCCACTCAAATAACGTCCAACCTTGCCTGGAAGTCAACCTGGTTGCATGAAGAAAGCTTCCTCATTTCAAGAAACAGAATTTACCTCTAAACAGGGCCTGTTTTACAGAACTAACACCCCTGTTACTGCATATTTAATTGACTGTACTTTTGTTTCACTTATAGTCATTTTTAACTCTTCTGAGAAACTCTTATTCTTGGCTGCATGTGTTAAATTATGAACTGGAAAGTGTGAAGACTTTTAGCCTCTTCACTTTTCCTACATTTTGCTGTTATAGAATCATTTGAAATGCATACATTTATTTTGTGCATTCATTTATATTGAGGTCTGTTTTAGTCAACAAAGAAAGGTCTTTGTCAGAAACCCCACCAGCCATTCAAACAGTGAGAAACGTGAGAAATGTCTGCAGCTGCACTAAGCCACAGAACACCACAGTGATGTTTCATGCCACTTTTAGGATGTGAGAAAAGGATTCTGTGGCCAGACAAGTTGAACTCATTGTTGCACGCCAAGAGCTTCAAATGTAAAAACAAACAAAAAAAAAAAAACCAGACACCACTCCTCATGTGTACTTACAGTGCAGCATGGCAGGGGTGGTGGTGAGCATCATGCTGTGATGATGCATTGCAGGGAAAAAAGGTAGGGAGAATGTTCAGGATTGAGAAAGCAATAAAGCAAGCCATTAGGGGCTGGACAAAAACCTGACCTACACTATGCATGACTTCAGGCCGGGGTGAAGGTCACAGCACAGCAATGTTAAACACAAAAGCAAAGCTTTTGGGACACGTCTCTTAACCAATGTGCTCCATCTAGCCTACAAGGAACTTAATAAAGGGATTAAATCAATTAAATGTCTCTGTTTTTTGTGTTGTTTTTTTAAATCAAGTGTGTGTTTATTGATTTGATGCTGTGGTTATTATTTACAATTAAAAGTCTACAATCCACCCAGAACCAAATAAAGTGAAGGAATCTGAGAAATATGACATAATTTGTACAGATAGGTTTTGTTTTGTAATGGCCAATAGCTGTCCACTGTAAATGTAGCCCACTTCCTGACTTCAGAAGTGACACGCACATTGCACATTTATTCAGCAAAGCAAAATGGCAATTCAGTCTGAATATAAGGCTAGGCTATGTTCACACAAAGACATTCAAATTCTGCACAAACTAATCTCTCAGATAGCAAAAGCACACGTGCTTCAGATGTGTGGTTAGCCTTATGTGAGAGGCATGAGTATTTCACTGAATTACGTCATTCACAGCCTCCCAAAGAGGAAGATCAGTGTGTGTGTGTGTGTCAGCTTTAGTGAAAGGCTATAGATGCTACATTTATGAATGTGTTGTGTACACATGTTCCTGTTGGTGCATGAATGTCTGTGTATGTATTTGAATGAGTTTCTGTGAAAGTGTGTATGTGTGGATGTTGGAAAAGATGCACATTTATGTATATGAAGTTTATAATTGTTGTTTGTTCCGGTCATGGGTGAAGATGAGGACAGGTAGATGAGGGGGATGAGAAGGATGGTTTAGGATAGGAGTTTTCAAAGTGTGAGGCGGGCCTCCCCAGGGGGGCTCCAAACAGTTTCAGGGGAGGCTCAGTGTATGGAGTGAAACAATATTACATTACTTATTGCATTAGTTATCAAAAGGAGATCACATAGAATAGCTTGCATGTGTGAGAATTCAGAGATCCAGTCTAAAACTATTTGGTGTAGTCATAAGTTATGTCAAATAGCAATATTAGGCCATTTTGGCTCAAATGTTGAGTGTCTATAGGATCAAATAATATAATTATGATTCCATAGGCATCCAGGAATTTAGCAAAACTTACCAAGTAAAGCAAAAATGTATTGGGGGGGTCTGAGAGGAGGCCCGCAGCCTGAGGCTTTTTTGCTCAGGAAGGTTCCTAACTGAGTGAAGTGAACCGGAAGTATTTCAGTGGCAGCCATGATAAGAGCTGTTCGAATTCTCTGAAAGCTGAGGAAAGGAGCCTCAATGCTTCCTTTCATATCTCCTTTAGCATAGGCTACACCGGACCATCCTTTACGAAAGGAAAGGAGAGAATGCCGTCCCACAATTCCTTGCGCGGCAACATTTAAAGCGGCGCACGTTCTCAAACTCAAACGATAAAATCAATCAACCACATTTAGCAAGATCCTTATGATGCTTTAATAAGGCTCACAATTACTTCTTTGTTTAGGTTTGTTTTCTTTTGACTTTTTTGTAATCTAATACTGTTTCAACACCGTTTTATATTTCGGGTTGTTGAAATAAGCCGTTAAGTGTTTTCTACATTCAAATAAAATAAATCACCAACCAAGACGGATAAAGGACGTTGATCACCATGTAGGTTGCCATTGGCTATTAAGCCTTTTCTCTCTTATGCCATAACTTGCTAATATGCATATATCTTCAACTGTTAACAATAACTGAGACCCATGCCAGCTGTTACTAGTCTTGTAAGGTGATCAAAGTGAGGATAATGTTGCAGCGTGTAGCATCACTTCATTCACAGATGCTGACACCCTCGCCTTAATAAAGGCAAAGATCAAGCTGGATAACCTCTACAGTAGGCGTTTCCCACACATTGATTTATTTGTGTCGTCCTGCCACATTATCAACGCTGATTTTGATTTTGTTACTATTTAAAATGGGTAAAATCGTGTTTGATGACAGATGCTGCACAGCTCATATATTCTCTCACTCTCTCTCTCGCCAAGTCGCTCCCTCTCTCTCTCTCACTCTCTCTCTCTCTCCGCACAGTTACGCTGTCATTCAGTGGGAAACACTGTATTTACATACAATTGGGATTCATGTTGATAAATATGCCTATGGGTGGGCAGGAGGGTCTGTGTGAGCAAGCATTCTCAATGTGACAACCCTGTCCATTATTTAGTGACTGGTAGGCTACCTTATCTGCCTTTTTGCTATCTTGGTTATTAAGTAATATATTCCACCGTGTTGTCCACCTTTAGATGGCCTGCATTACAACATGGGCCGCAGTGTCAAAGATGCGCTTTTTGTAGTCCATCTTCGGAATATTGTAGTTTTATCACGGCAAGCCACGTCAGTAACATCCGCTGTCGCATAATTACGTTGCTTAGAAAAGAGCAGCCCCGCGGTCCTCTTTTCCTAAGTCCTTATGGATTCTCCTTCACATCTTTCCTTGACCTCATGACGTTTTCCATCGAGATCAAGGAAAGGAGGTTAGGAAAGGAGATTTTTTTGACTTTTCGACCGCAGCCTCAGACTTTGAAAACCCCTGGTGTAGGATAAGCTCACACTCAGTTAGTGAACCTCTGCTGCCATCTAGTGGATGACTTTGGAAAATGCTGTATTTGCTTGCCTGGGTAGGTTTTGAGTGGTCATTCCTCTTAAGCAAAACAGGCACGTAGCAAATCTTTATCTCTTAATGTTAAAAATAAACACAGACACACTGCAACATGTGCTTAGAAGCAGGAGGGTGAGTGAAAATGACAGGCTGTAGGAGTGACTATTGCTAAGCATTTAATGAATGAATAATTTGTGGAGCGCCATCTCATATAAAAATGATTCATAAGGCTTAAAGCCATAAAACAATAAAAAAAATGTTACAACAGATAAAGACCGACAACATACATAAGCAACTATGAGGAAAAGAATGTACTGTTTTAAAAACCTGTGTTTCTCTGTGTAGTCTTGTTCAGTTAGTTCCTAGTCCTGTACATGAGTTAATATCTTTTGTGTTTGTTTACTCCTGGTCTTGTGTTCCAGGTTTTGTCTTGTGTATTCCCTTGTTCATTTACTGGTTCTGTTTAGCCTGTACTTGTGCATTCTTGGTTATTCACCCATGTCTGCTTGTCTAAGTGTTCTCTCTGTTACCCCCTGTTGTCTCTGCCTGCCTGCCTCTCTGTTTTCCTGCTGTCTCTCTGCCTCCCTCGTTAGCCTCATGTCTGTCACCTGTGTTGCTCCCGCCCTGCTTGTTAGTCCCTGTGTGTGTATATATATACACCTGGTGTTTCTGTCTTGTCAGATCATTGTATGTTGTCACCCTGAGTTGCAGTGTGTGTTTCTTGTGTCGTCAGCCTCACTTGTCGTGTCTCCCTGCTCATTTTGGATTTCTGTTGGACAACCTTTGTTTTTGGACTCTGTCATCAGCCACTCAGTTTGTAAGTGTGCTCACCTTTAGTTTATATTAAAACCCTTCACTGAACTGCACCTGCTAGCCTTCGTGTCCTGCGTTTGGGTCCTCGAACCTGCTTCACCACACCACTTACCCTGACAATCCCTGTTTTTTGATTCTTTTCCATAGATCTACACAAGCGTGCACTCAGGTATCCTCACATGACTTAACAGTCACTACCTTTTCACATGTCAGTGCTGTCATTCAGTAATTTATCCATGGATGTGAGTTGGGCCTTTCCAGTTCAGACTGGTTGAGACTGTGTGCTGCTTGAAGTGCAGAAAAATGTGAAAAGGCCAGTTTGGCAAACACGTCCTCTTGTTCTATTCTCCTGTTGTCCCATCCACCCTTGAGTTTCCTTCACCTGCATACTTAGGAACAAAACATCATGGTCCGTACTCCACCCGGCACAACGAACATGAAGTTCCAGTCTTACAACCTTGATGAGGACTGAAATGTACATGAGAAACAACTGAAGTCTTAGTTTTCTAATTCCAGTCTGTCAAACAGTTGCTGTGGACAAACAATATTGTCCACTTTTTGGGTGTATGACTAACTTTGTGTCTTGCTTGTTTTAATTGTTCCTGAATGTTTTGGCTGAAGCTGTGAAATGATAAAATATGAAGGAAGCAGGGATTGTGAAAAACAAAACAGGATATTCCACATATCTCAGGTCATGTTTGTCAGCCATGCAGAGTTGGGCAAAGCATGAGACATAACGCCTCATGGTAAAAACCCATAATCCATTTAAGAAGGATTTAAGGGGCAATAAAAGTGCATTTAGTGGAAAATCCAATATCATTTGTTGATGTCCTTTACTAAACCCAAACAGAGGAGATTTAAATAAACAGAAGCAGAATGGCCGATCTATCGCTGACTTTTTGAGACTAATAAAGCAATTGCAACTCAACGTGAGAAAGATCATGTATCCTACATGTATGTAGGACATTGGGGTTTGTAGTGACTAAAGGGGAGAAAACAACATAGATTTGTAAAAGCCTTATCGATATTTTACCATTTTCACACATTGGGTTCCTTTCATCAGCTTTCCTTCTCCTGTTTCTGTCAGACCCAAAGTCACTGAGTTATGCTTAAAGACTATAATGGCATTTTGAACATTGTAAATTTCAATTTAAGGGAGCAGCTTTGTTTGCATTCATTGTTGGGGCTACAAGGTTTCTTTAATGACAAACCACTGTTTGCATTAGATATGTTGAATAATATGATGCTTGATTGTTTCCATGTGTCACAACCAGTCTACCAAATGTAGGCACATCCTGTGATTTTAATCTGACCTCCATTTCCTGTATGGTTTATGTTATCACTGCTTGACTGTTATTGCAAAAAACCGGTGCAATCTCTGGATTAAAAGAGAATCATGAAAAACGAAAAATCTGAAATAATCCTAGTGGGTTTAAGTTTCATTGGAGTGACGTCACTGACAAAAGCTGCGCCAGACAGACAAGAGAGCGTACCAAAAAAAAAAAAAGACGAAATACACAGTACAAAAAGGAGGCGAAGGCTTATTTAAAACACTTAACGTGCCTGAGCCGTGACAAGTGCAGCTGGAAAAAACTGACATGCGTGTGGGAGGATGTCGGCGGGAGCAGAGGACACGGTGATGATTTCCTTCACCTTGGGGGAGGATCTGTCCACGTAATGCGAAGCAACCACACTCTCGCTCGCATTTGCTCTTCCTCCTTCAGCCGCGGTACATCACCAGTAGTGAAGCCACAGCTCGGAGATGTGCTTTGCTCGTGCACAGAGAGACTGGAGTCCTGAGAGAAGAAGACACCTCTGATATTTGCTCTCGCATGGACGTTTTTTTTTTTTAAATTTAGTATATTGTTACTGATTTGTTTTCAAGGGAGAAGGTGTTCATTGTTTTCGTGCTGAAACCTTAAGCTAACTGTCAACTACAGGATGAACAGCATGAAACGGGTTCCCACACGGGTGAAAAGCAGGCGGATTGAGGCCAACCTCGGAGCGGAGAGGGAGCATTTTGACAAGCAGCAGGTACAGATATAATACAGTGGGACTCAGAGGGTTAATGTTCACTGTGAGATGAGAAACATGGCCTACTGTGGCTTAATGGGTGACCATAGGGATGTATGTATGTATGTGTGGTGGTGTTGGTCATAGTGTAGCCTACTGCAAAGGCCACATTCCCAAATTGATTCGGTAATTGAACGTTTAACATCTGAATGAAATGTCTCTGTATTTTTCAATTAAAGCCCGCAAACGTTATAGCACGAGGCTGCACATGCCCTCTGTGTGTTTTTTTTTTTTTTTTTTTAAAGTGTACAATCCCAGAATGTGTTCAATATCTGGAACTTCCACATTAAGAATTTGAACTTAAAGCAGAAAATGAGCCACATTGGAACAAAAGGCATAAGCTTTCTCAGAGACCACCATCAACTAAAATGGTAATTCTGAGAGATTTGACCTTATAAGCATAATGTAGTAAGTGATTCAGTGCACTGTGCAGTCACCATTCATTCCTCTCTGAAGTCTGTCCATTGTAGTCATGCTGATCTAGTCCTTCCTGTTTGTCCACCTTTCATTCCTTAAAGACATATCTTCCTCTGTTTTTAGCAGCCATATCGTTGGATATAACACTTAAGAAACAGGGAAAAGCGCTTTAACTGACAGATTAACTTTTGTGGAGTAACTAGAGTCAGTTTGTTTTGAATGTGTGCGCTGGAAGGAATGAGGTTTGTCTTAGTCGTCACACAACAACAGGTGCTTTGTGGTTTCTGGCTGTTAACTCCCCTGCAGTCATCGGCCAACTAAGTGAAACCAAGCTCTTCATCATACACGAGTGAGATACTTTAATGTAGACAGTATAGTTGAATAAATGCTTACATTTGGTGAAGACGAAACCAGCCAGGTCATGGAGCTGCACGGTCAAGTGAAGCACACACCCCATTCTGACTTGGAAACATGAGACTCACGCGAGGTTGAGTAACTAAACAAACTGTCACACAGCTGCTTGAGAGTTCAGACTTGCCGCACTTTCAGTTTTGTGTTATCACAAATGGGCTGAGCTTTCCCTACATTGGGTGTATTTTCCTCTGTCAGTGTTTAATTTGCTTTCGAAGCACAAGGAAAGGAAGTGTTTAAACCCCTGCCCTGTCCACCTCCCAACACAGCTGAAATAAATTATACAATAATCATGATCAAAGATTTTTTTTAAAAGCCCTTCCTGCTGCATGTTAACTTGTTTAATATTGCAGCATATTTGTTGATTGGAGCAAGTAGGCACATTGAGTCCCATGCTGTGCAACAAATGTTCAACTTGTTTGTGTAAAAGACAGGAGTCAAAGTGTTGTTTAAAACTTGCGGCATATTCAGCACAGGGTGGAACTAGTTAGATTAACTAGTTAATATGACTGACTGGCGGGTTCAGTTTGCAGCCAGGGTGAGCAAGTCACATTTGCTCCGCTGGGCGGATCCACTGGGAAACATGCAAATCAAGTGGGCAGGTTGAGGAACAATCCTGACTCCTGATTGGCTGATACTTAAACATGTTGGCAGAAATTTTTATTGTATGGCTATTGACTGCCTCCCTAATTGGTATTTCATTACAGGTAGTTGAATGGATGTGGAGACTCAGCTCATTGCAGTATGTGCTGACTAAGCAAAAATGGCAAACTTTGGAGCTATTGGTTAAATGTGTGTGTTTTTAAAAAAAAATTGTAACCTGTTCATATTCCAGAGATTAGATTGAGCTTCCCTTGTTGTGGAGTTCCTCACTATTGCTGATCATCCAGGATACCGACTGAAACTCCTCTGCTGCCCTTCACTCTCACTCCACTCTCTCCTGCGTTCTCACCTCTTTATGTTGACCTCAGTGCCAAGGTGAAATGTCTCACACAGCGTCCTGAGTGTTTGTGCGAGTGTGTAGTGTTTGCTTTCCTGTTGCCTGAGCAAGCGCCCATGAGAGAGGAAAGGGGGATGGGAGTACACACAGCTACTGAGTGGGAGTAGAGAGAGAATTAAAAGCACTCTGGCAATGATCGTTTCACATGGAAAAAAAACAGTCTGATGTTGAAGTTCCTGTTTTTGTAGTGAGGTCTTATGTCGGCGTTTGTAAACAAACAAAAGGGGATTCAAGCTTCACCATTCAACCATTTTCTATCATAGTGTTTCCGTGCAAAGTAATCTGCAGGTCAGGTTGTCATTAAATCATGCATCATTTACAAAACATGTACTCATGGTGCCCAAGATGTACTAGTATTTTCAGTCCTAAAGTCACAATGTTAACACTGTATCTATGCTATTGTGCGTATGTTTTGTGCTCTTACTTTTACATTGTGTTAAACAGCTACTCACAGTCATGAACATCATGTGAATCACAAGCTTACTGACCAACGTGAACAATCTGGCTGCTAAAGAACAGTTTGTCTTTTGTTGAATATTTTAGTGGATGCAGTATTAATAATTTAATTAGACATAAAAGTGAGACATGACCTCTATCTGTGCAGGCATTCAGTAGTCCACTAGCTGTTTGTACTATAGCTGTTGACATATTTGACTGTGGTTCAATTAGTCATCATGGTAACTAAATATTCAGCTGTGTCCTTATTTTAATCTGATGAACTTTGGTGATAGAGATGATGTACATTCTTACTTTCATGGCACATTTTTAGCATTAAGAGAGTACAAATGAACACCCGGGTTCTGAGCATATTTTAATGTATCAGTTTTAATATATTTTTAAAGGTGTTTCCTTTGTGTTGTGTTTACAGTGTACATGTGCAGTGTCTTTTTCTGTTAGAAAAGCAGGAGAAGACCAGATGTCCAGTGTGGGCTTGTGTGTTAGGATTATTGCCTGTGCTGATGTGGGAGAGACCGTGCTGGTTTAATCAGAAAAGGTACGAAGAAGCTGTAGGAGCGGAGCAACACCATGAGAAGTTAATGAAAATATCAAAATAACCTTGTAAAACCATTTGATCTGTGAAAGAATACTCATTTGGAAAAAGTTGTGAAAAGTGAGCGGAAAGCCTTTCATAAATCTGCAAGTGTTCACTGAAAATGGTGTAAAGGATGTACTCTTCACTTTGCATTTCCTTTGTTGCCTCTGTGACACACTCTGTCACTGCTTTCCCTGATTGTTGGCATTCTTGCATGTAGCTAGCCTCGACTAACAGCTCTGTGTGTGACCTTGGTAGCCAGATCCTCCCAGCAGCAGTCTGTTGAATTAAGCTGATAAGGACCTGCGATAAGTGCTCTTGCCTATGTGCATTATGTCCAGTGAGAAGCAGCTCAGGTGTAGCGTTGATGCCTTGACCACATTAATTTCACACACTGTGCCACACCAGGATGTCCAAGCACATAGACACGCTGCTGAAAAGCAGGGATGATAAGGTAAGCAGAGACGACCTCAAGACTGAAAGTATGAATGCATCGTGGAGGGTGTAGTCTGTGTAGCAAGTGTATAGCTACAGTAATGCTAGCTGGCAATAGACCTTATGGCAGACTTCAGGGATTAGTCCAGGCTTTCCCTCCCTCTCACTTCTCCTCTCTGCCACTCATGGGATTTACTGACGCTTGTACCAGATGCAGCACTAACTCGTCAGGCGGCCGCACAGTTGATGGTGTTGGCAATGTCTGGAGGGCTTGGACTGAACTGCTCTATTAGTAAAAAGTTTGGATTTCATCTGACTTACCTGGCATTAAGGAAATGGTGTCTCTGTGTGTTAGTGTGTGACCTGTGCAGAGGCTTGATAGTGAGATGCTGAGTCATGTGTCGTAGCTGAGCTGTACTAGCAAGGCATTTTCTCAAGTTTGTTTTTCTACAATTACAGTAAAATAATAGTAGTTAAAGTAGGAAAATAACTTGCTGATTAATTTATTATTACATTGATCGTTAGTTGCAGCCTTTCAAGTAATCAAAGGGTTGTTACTGTAGTTTGATCCTCATGCAGTGCCCAGTACTTTTCTAGTAGCCTTGAACAAGGAACAAGGGCATGTACACTAGAGTGCTGCAATGAGTGAAATCAGCTGTTTTGCCCCCCCCAAAAAGCTGCAATACAGCTGGTGATCATGTGCTTATTGTGACAGTAAACTGTAGTATTTGGTCACCCTCCACCTCCTGCATTCGATGTCGCTCTCCTTTCTTTCCCTTTCCTCGCTCTCTCGCTGCTCTCTGACTGACAGCCATTCTGAATGTGCTACGAGAGTCTCCCTGCAGCCTCGCTGCTCAGTGGCCATCTGTTGAGGCCTCACTGCCAGGCTCTGTGTGCCAGAGCGCGGCCCCCATCCAAGCCAATCTTCTACCCCAGCTGTCGGCCTTCCTCCCCAAACAAACCCCTCATTGTCAGGTGGGCCTCCGTGCTAGCCCACTGCACTTGCCCTGTGTAAACGAGGGACTGGCAGTTCATTTGCGTCAGAAGCAGGCGGGGGTCTCCTATTAACTAGCACACCCCTCTCTCACTCTGAACGCCACAGTGACCCCTCTGTGCTTTGTTGCGTGGCCATGTATGTTTTGGTGGTTGTATGTGTGGGGTGGCGACTGCCAGGTTTTGTAATGTATTAAAGAGGCTTTTATAGGGCCTCTGCCACTGATATGTGATGTTTCAAACAAAGATGTGACATGGATCTCTAAGTCTGTGCTTGAGGGTAAGATTAGAGATGCAACGATTAATCGAGCAGTTGTCAACTATTAAATTAACTATTAAATTGCAGATTAATCAGTTTGAGTAATTTTTTAACAAGGAAAAAGTCAAAATTCTCTGTTTCCAGCTTCTAAAATGTTCTCGTTTCTTTATCAATGAACTGAATATCTTTGGGAAACACTAATCAACATCCATCACCATTTTGACATTTTATAGACCAAACAACTAATTGATTAATTTAGAAAATTATCAACTAAGTGTCATTGAAAATAATCCTTTGTTAAAACCCATAAGTAAAACACAAAATCGTCTTTTGCTGTCATTTACGAGTATGTGCAACTTCTGTACATTATGGTTACACATTCAAGTTTAAGGAGCCTTTTTGTACAGAAAGATACTTTGGGAAAGGCTGTTATGAAAGAGGGGCTGAAATTGTTGGATTAGTCTCTTATGTAATGCTGTGATGGTGTAGCTGGCTTGCAAGCATAATACAGATAGTCTGGGCTCCAGCAGAGGTGTTAAATGGACCCAGGGAACAAAACAAACAAGTACATATTAGGGGTGTCACAATTTTGATTCTGGAGAGTTTACGCTTTATTAACTCTAGCAGATGCAGGAAAAAAAAATGTTTGACTCAAATTGTGACCTTAAATTCAAAAGTCAAATCGAATTGTGGATTTAAAGACTCATGACACCCCGAGTAGATATGCTTTCGTATTACATTACTGTCTTAGTTTGCACTCTTTTGGAATTATTTCATTTTCATTAATATTTCATACTAATATTTTGGAAAGGTCCCTAAATATTAAAGTAATCACAGATAATCATTTTGGGATAGTTATAAAATAATCCAACCAAGGTTAAAGTCAAGGACAACTGGACTTGGTTGAAGATACTGGAAGACGTTTCGTCCCTCATCCAAGGGACTTCGTCAGTTCAGACTGACTGGTAGGGAAACTCAGCTATTTAACCTCAGTGGGGTCGTTGCTAATAGCTGAGTTTCCCTACCAGTCAGTCTGAACTGACGAAGTCCCTTGGATGAGGGACGAAACGTCTTCCAGTATCTTCAACCAAGTCCAGTTGCCCTCGACTTTGGCCTTCGTTGGATAACTATGACCTGGATGACTGAGAATCTTCAGACATCTTTATAAAATAATGTGTATACTGTGCACCTAGGTGTTTTTTTTCTGCAGGTTTTAACAAAGACTAACATCTGGTTGTTTGCAAGACAACGCAAGATTGTAGAGTGAGCCAAGTGTCAAGACTTAAAGGTTGGCAGTGCGATTATAATCCAATATTATATAATTGACTTTTCGTCAAATTTAGCAAATATCTACTGATGGTACGCTGGCTGTCCGTTCAGCTTGTATGCACTGAAAAAAAAATCCGGTGTTTTTACACAGCCCTGGATCTGAGCTCTCCGTGGAGCTCCTAGCAGTTGTCCACTAATCAGAAGGTCGTGGTTCTATCCCCAAATCTGCATGTCGAAGTGTCCTTAGGCAATACACTGAACCAAATTGCTCCTGACGGCTGTTCCATCGGTGTGTGTGTGAATGTCTATAAATTAGTTAATTTCCATTTCTGGGGCAGTTAGTTGGCACCTTAGCCTCTCTGCTCATCTGTGTATGAATGTGTGTGAATGGGGTGAATGTGTAATGCGATTTGAGTGCTAGTGACTAGAAAGACGAAACCAGCCAGGTCATGGAGCTTCTCTGGTGACTAGAAATACGCTATACAAACACATACCATTTACAATAATGAGAAACAAGTGAACCGAGCCCCACAACACAATTCAACACTATTCCAGGTGTGATTTGTGTGTTATGTAACATTAAATTACTTGTCCATGGACATTCACCACAAAACGAGATCTCAAGGGGTTTATTCTAAATTTGACTATTGATTAATTAAATTCAGCTAACTTTCTAGATTGCCAAGACATGCTGCTGTTGTGCTGTTAGCTATGGTAGCTGGAGAGTTGTGCTAACATTAGTTTTGTTAGTTGCTGTGTCATTGTTCGCTCTGGTGTTGGATTTCTCCAGAATCGCTTACCCCACCTTTAAGGCGGGGCACATCACACAGTTTTGAAGCCCGATTTAGCTGTGGGTGGTGTCACGGTAGTTCAGCATAATTGTGCCAGTCTAGCCATGTTTGTTTTCTTCAGTCTAGATGTCTTTGATCATTATGTAATTGTTATGTGTTGGTCAGTGATTCAAATCTCTCTTTTAGGATCCCAAAAGGGATGGCATGTTTCATTGTATCAGGGATAGTTCTACATTCCCCTGCCGTGCAATCAGGCTCAAATAGCAACGTGAATTTTAGTAGATAATTAACATTTTATTTAAAAGTCCGGAAGGAGGATAGATTGTTTTCATGTATATTTAAACAACTTACTATTTTCAAAGGTAATTATGGAAACGCAGTTCAAATGGAACTCCCTCCACATCATACAGCCCACTGTGCAGAACGTTTTCCATTTTTGGCTTGCATAAAATTTTGTCTACATCTTGTTAATGTTTTCTCTTTGCAAATCTCTTTTGCTGCTGTAAGCCCCCATTGATTCCATGTTTTTTTCAGTATCAAGATACTGTGAAAATACATTCTTGTGAGTAAAGATGTGCCATGAAACTGGCTGGACAGTAAAATATAAAAGTGAGTCTGAATAGTGTATAAAGTAACATGACCACTCCAGGCAGTTATCATGTGGTGTACTGTAGCTGAGGTTGATTGAAATTAGTGAATGTCCATGGGGACACACATCCAACAGTGTGGAAATCCAGACTGTGTATTTCTTTGTCTCCCTTCCTGCAACACCTGTTTTACCCGCTCGACAGGCTGCAGAGCGACTTCTGTGGTTCTGGTGACTGGAAGATGTTATCTTTACATGCAGGGTTTGCCCTTCTTTGCCCTGAGCTCCCATAGATGATGAGACACAAAGCTAAATACCACACAGTATTATCAAGCTGTTTCATACAGATGACACAAAGATAGTTTTGCAGCAACCTAGATAAACAAACAAGGTTTAATACATATCTTGATCAAGATGTTAGTGTAATAGCACCAGCAAAGAAACAGAGGGAATGCATGTGAGGTATTGTGTAATCAATATCACAAAAAAAACACTGAGAACTGAGCTAGGTGCTCACACCTTTATTTAATTTTTTTTTTCTTTGTTTTCCCCCCTGTGGTCTTCTTTTACTGTAGTCTGATCAAGCTTAGGATCAAACCATTAAAATTGGCAAGAATTGTAGCTGCTAGTTCATCCTGAATCACTGACTGTTTTTGGTGAGTTAAAATCAGGCTAACCATAAGGTGAGAGCTGAAAGTCCTTCTGTACAACGCTGTGTGTACATAGTGCAGAGTCATTGTTTCTCTGATTCATTCAGGCTATTGCAGTGCAGCCTGTTATCATTTATTTGACTCCTGGTCTTTATTTAACTTCTCGTGACTTATGTATTTGTGGGCAAGTCTATTGTAACTGATGGTTGTGTGTGTGGAAAAGCAAGCTGTACAATATCTATGATTAATTCTCTCCTCCCAGCTTAACAGCATCAGCAAAGCCATCACATCTGCTGAGACGCCTGTGAAGGAGAAACATGTACGACGTATCCTTTTTAAAAACAATCCAGTTTCCAAACTAAAATCGGTAGAATGGTTCTGTTTAGATACGTACTGGGACTGCCTTTACTTCGCAACTTGTAAGGGGGTATATATGTAAGGCATTAATAAACTATTAGTGCATCTCTTTTCATATAGAATAAATTGATATTTTAGCCATTGTTTAACTTCATAGAAAGATTTCAGCACAGTTGACATTAGGGCTGGGTAATAAAACCATAATGATAATTATCGCAATGTAATTCTCCTCAATAACAATATAACGAACGTTCAATATATTGTCTATAAATATTTGATTTAATTAATTATAAAACACGAAGGAATTGGCATGAATTATGTTGCAATTTGGTGTGTTTCCTGTTTAACCAGAATATTGAGTTGGGATCGTACAGCAGTCATAATTCAGGAGTGTAAAACAATGGGATACTACTGAAAGAAAACAACAGTTTTATTGGATGTGTAGGACAAAGGCACGGAAATGCTCAAATCTGTGATGTTTTTGTTTTTGAATATTATTATTATTATTTTAAGTGTTCAAGTACACATTAAGGGTAACCATTAACAATTATGTTTCCAAGGAGGATAAAGTAATGGAATATAGATAGAGCGATGCAAAAGAAAACTTGTACATTAGCTGGAATGTTCTTAAATGGGCATACATAATTACGTGGAAACCTAGTTATCATTTCATTGTGACATTGTGTAGGAAATGTTGTACGTGGAGTAGCCAGTCATGAGATAGCGTGTGCTTCCTTAACAACCCTATAACAGGGATCATCCTGGGGACTCACAGGGAGAAGGGAGCCTTCACCTTCTGGTCCTACGCTCTGGGCTTCCCTTTGGCCAGCAGCTCCATCCTGAGCTGGAAGTTCTGCCACGTACTGCACAAAGTCCTGCGGGACGGACACCGCAATGTAAGAAACCAAGTACCCTTCTCTTAACGACTATTATTATCTAAGACACGAGGGAGAAGTTAAGAGTGGAGTTTTTGAGTGATAAAAGACCAGGTGGTTACAGCATCACAAGTTCAACATGACGCTGGGGAGAAATTATTAAGGCATAAACGCTTTTATCCAAAGCGATTTACAGTTGCTATACATGTCAGAGGTTGCACGCCTCTGGAGCAACTAGGGGTTAAGTGTCTTGCTCAGAGACACATTGGGGGATGTGTCACAGTAGGAATTGAACCCAGGTCTTTCACACCAAAGGCATGTGTCTTATCCACTGCCCACTGCCACCCCCTTAAGACTTAAAATTGGCTTTCACTTGTATATTTATTGGAATATTGTCTTTCTTCTTTGTTCTATTCTGTCTGGTAATACAATCTATCAATAATCATTTAACTTTTAAAATTAATATTCAGGATTTGTCCTAATGACAAACACCTCATTTATTTAAATTTAATAGTGATTGACACTGATTTTAAGACACACCAAAGCTGCTTTTTTTTCTTTTTTTTAAATGCTGTGGGAAAATAAAATCAGACCTCTTTCTCAGAAATAGACTATAATGTTTGTAACATACAAGTGAATGTGCATTTAATAGGAGTTGACTGTGTGTGACTGAGTGTTACTAGAGTTGTATTTCAAGCTGTCCCCTTCACAGGTTCTACAAGATTGCATGAGACATCACAGTTCTCTAGTTGAAATCGGGCATCTATGGGTGAGTCTTTGCATCTTTTTTTTATTATGTCTGTGAAGACTGTAAAAATATCTTTCCAGTAAGCAACAACTATTCTTATTCTGTTTATTTGTGCCTAATTCGTGCCTGTCTGCTACTGCGATTTCCAGGCCAACCTCCATGACAGATACGGACAGCTGGTGGGTCTATATTCCAAGCTGCTATGCACAAAAATGGAGTTTCATGTAAAGGTAAGAGCATCCGCTGTCATATGTCACACCATGTATGTTACCAAGATGTCTATCATGGGTGATACAGAAAAATGTTAGGAGTACATTCTGTGAATGGGAATAGTCACTGAACCTCCAAAAATGTTCCTCTGCAGCATTCAGATATCCCACCGAACCTGGAGGTCACAGATGAAGTCCTGGAGCGCACTGCAGGAACCGACGTTAATAATGTGTGAGTTTCCAAATATTGTGGAAAGTCAATTTTGTATGTATCTTTTCAGCTTTCCCAATCGTTTGCCACTGAAACAAGTTAAAAAAAACAGACTAGTCCTTATGCTTGTTTGATTTCACAGGATTATCATTGTTTCTGAGTGTGGGCTCTTTTCTGTCTGATAAAGGTATCACATTCTCTCCTGCAGGTTCCAGCTCACAGTGGAGGTGTTTGATTACTTGGATACAGAGCTGAGGCTGGCCGAGACAGGTGAAAAAAAAAAAAAAAAAAAAAAAAAACTCCTCCCACCTTCCCCCCCATCCTGCTCGTCTAAGGAAGAGAAATTTGAGCTACGGTAGAGGCCTATCGCCTGCTGACATTATCTATTTACGTACAAAAGCCGAGAACCATTTAAAGGAAGGGTTATTGTGAGCAACTCTTGTCCTACCTGTTTTCACATAGACTCTAATCTGTTTAAAAAAAAAAAAAAAAAAAGAAAGTGATTTCAATCTCTAGTATGAAGTCATGTTCTCCTGATTTGCGTAGATTTGTTTGATGAGGAAATTCCTGTAATTAGGGGACATTAAGTTGATTTACTCCAGTTTAACTGGTATGCTCCCCCCAGGCCTGCACTCTGCATCCTCCTGGGCCTCCACCCAGGATCAGGTCTCACCACCATAAACAAATATTGCAGCTGTACTGTGAAACAAGTGTACTTGAACTCTGTAAATATACTTGCATGCGTTCTCAGTCTGACCACTTTGTTTTGGAGTCATTGGCACAAAATCTCATTACGATTTTTGCATGTTGCAAAAAGTATGCACTGTTGCTACCTCACCGGGCAGCTAGGTCAGTGGTTCAAACTTTTTCACATCAATGACCCCTGAACTGACACAAAGTAGACCACAGACTCCTATTTGATACGACTTTGTCCCAGGGTCCCCCATCTGATTGCATTTGTGCTTTTTAGATGTTTTACTACAGAAAGTAGTCACTGTCATTGTGTTATTTATGGAGGGAATAATAATGAAAATGATCTCTTCCCCTTTTTGCTGGTGACCCCGTGGAACTCCCCCAAGGCCCACTTTGATGAGGTGCTCAAGTAACAAGAGAAGCAAATGTGAAAACCAACTCTGCAACACTAACTAACTCACTGGAAGACATTGGAAGCACTTTATTCAGCCAACACTATTGGCCCCAAGCCTTCATCAGGATGATTTACATAATGGGGAAAAATACAGCCCATGTTTGCACCACAATAGGCATTAATCAATTATTCGATGAGGACTAGACATAGGCAAGGCAAATTTACCCTCAGGGATACTTTATGTTCATGTCTCTGATTTCTCTCGCAGTGCTCCGACAGCTCAACACATCCATCGCCATCTCCACTCTCACGTCAGGCCAGTGTCGGCTGTCTCCGCTCATCCAAGTTATCCAGGACTGTAGTCACCTGTACCACTTTACCGTCAAGCTGCTATTCAAGCTGCATGCCTGTAAGAACAGTTATCCAGAAAATGCCATTTAGCATACCCTCTTAGCCTATAAATTCTGGGATACATTTGTTAAATGTTCGACATGAATTATCACCATTTACTATCTTTATTTTATTCAAGCTATGGCTTTGAGGTTATTTGTGTCTCAAAGCATTGCCTAATAATAAAAACTTTGTCCCATGTGGATTTCAGGTCTCCCTGCTGACACCTTACAAGGACATCGTGAACGTTTCCATGACCAGTTCCACAGGTAGGTCGTCCACAGCCATAGGCTATGAGTGACTGCATCAAAAAGGAAAGAACAGTTTTGTTTTTACGAATGAAGTGTACAACATAATCCTGTCTCACTCATTGTTCACCACAGCACTTTGAACCAATGCAAATCACTGCATCCCATGCCCCACCCTTTGTGGCGAGTCAGTCATGTTCACAGACATATTTATATCTTTAATTCTGAGTTCAGAGATGAGTGTACAGGGTTGGGAGAGATGGTGTCATTAGATTCACTCTTCTAAAATGTATCACAGGTTATGTAGTAGCTATGTTACCTAATCCTTCATGTATCTTTTTAGTGCAATTACAGTTTGCCATACCTGCCAATGGTGATTAAATATATGAACTATAAGTTTTTTTTTCCCACAGCCTAAAGACCTTCTTCAATAAAGCAAGAGACATGATGTACTTCAAGAGACTGATCCAGATCCCCAAACTGCCCGATGTAAGAGCGCAGAGGGTCACAGCCTTCATCTTGCATGTCAAAGACTTCACCATAAACTAAATTCTGCTACTGTTAGCTACGTACATAGACAGCTAATGAAATGAAGACCAAAAATAATCTTTTTTTTTATTTGTATCTATTTCACCTGAACATGATGCCATACTGTTTTAGGTTTAACCAAATACATGCCTTTTGCCTGTCTCCTTGTCAGTCCCCTCCTAACTTTCTGCATGCAGCCTCACTGGCCAAGCACGTGAAGCCAGTGGTGGTAATACCCGATGAGGAAGAACCGGAGCAACAAGACGACGATGACGACGACCCTGAGCCCCTCATTGAGGTCAGCGACATGTCAACATCCAGCGTACAGGCACAGGTACGGCACATAAGTCACAGATGCATGCGTGTATGCAGTAGACTGGGTACACTCGCTCATAAGTACTCATACATTAGTACCATGATGTTGTGTAAGCTTTTCAAAATGTATTATTTTACACTTTCTCAGCAACCAGACATTTTTGATCAGACTTTTGGACCTCCGAATGGAGGCTTCGATGACAGGTGAGCCATGGTGTTTTCACAGTAACCTGTGATTATCAATAAGACTATCTGGTTTCAGCTTGCCGTCTGTGCCAGCACACTATGACTGTGTGTTTTCTGTCTGACAGGGATCTTCAGATTGAGAGCCTGAAGCGGGACCTGGAGTTGTTGAGAGCAGAGCTGGAGAGAGTCAAAGCAGAAGTAAGGACTGAATCATCTGCTGGTTAGGTTTCAGGCTTTTTTGTCTGAAGTTCGTGAGTACATAGAGGTGTGAGGTCGTCATTATCTATGTGCAAAGGAATCTGGGTCATGTGTTGGGTGGATGCAAATTATGCTGACATGTGGAATGTGGCAAGTAGCCTCTGACGGAGACAAGGGTGTCCAGTTGAGATTTTTACGTTACGGGAACAATTCTGTCTTGCAACCTTTTTTGCATGTCTTCCCTTCTCTCTGCTATGTTTGTTGTGTTTTTCTGTTGTTACAAAAACGGATATAAAGCAAAAAGATTGGGAGATAACATTTGGCCAGGGTTGGGTGGGGTTTGAAAAAATAAATAAATCTTGTGAAGTGAGAATTTCAAGATTGTTATGTTGAAAATTTAACAAACTTTGCTCTGACGCTAGTAGATTATTTCTGAAATGCAGATCTGTCTTTTCCTGTCCTGAAGGCTCAACGCTACATCACACAGCTGAAGTCCCAAATCAACAGTTTGGAGGCAGAACTAGAAGAACAGCGTGCACAGAAGCAACATGCTCTTGTAGAAAATGAACAACTGCGCATGGAGCTGGAGGCTACACGTCGGCGAAATGCAGAACATGAGAGCTTACAGACCACCTTCATCGAAGCAGATAGTAAGACATGCAGTGAACACACACTCTCACTTATATGGACAAAATGTGGTCAAGTGCCTATGATAACGCGGTCTTCTCTCTCTCCGCTGTGCAGAAAGAGCGCAGGCCACTGAGCAGCGGTACAATAAGCTGAAAGAGAAGCACACAGAGCTGGTGGCCAGCCATGCTGAACTACTTCGGAAGGTACAAACAGACTGCAGATCAACCCAGAGATGTTTGTTTTAAAGTAGATGTCAGCAACTGGCTGTGTATGGTAACACTAAATGCGTTAACGTGCTGACAGAGTGCAGACACTGTGAAGATGCTGTCTGCAACACAGCAGACCCAGGAAGAGGTGGAGAGGACCAAACAGCAGCTGTCGTTTGAAGTTGATCGAATAAAACAGGACGCTGACATGAAGGTCGTGGTATTTTCCTTTGAATAGAACATGGAGGAGTAACAGTGCGGTGTAGGTGTATGTTTAAAATGCTGTTTTGTTGTCACTGTAGCTGGAAGAGCAGAAGTTTGAAATGGAGAAGCTGAAGAGAGAGCTGGAGGAGAAGATGGCAGAAGTGATGCGCATCAAGGCGACTCTGCAGAGCAGCGAGAAGGTGAGTGTGCACCTGTAATGTTATGACCTTGATGATGTTTTAGCTAATTCACCATCATTCATTATTCAGTACATCACCAGAGTTGTCATCAGTTCTGCGTTTGGAGGCTAGAGGCATTTCACACATTTCCGGATGGACTTTCCTTCCGACTCTCACAGCCATCTGCGTCTTCTGGCTTTGTTCATCGCTCTCTCTCTCTCTTTGCCAGACGTCAGCACAAGTGAACAGCTCAATGACAGCTCTGCAGGCAGAGAAGGAGCGTCTGATGCGATCTGTGAGCGAGAAGGAGGCGGAGCTGTCATCTCTGCGGCAGACTGCGCAGCTGCAGCAGTCCTCACTTCAGCAGGAGCGAGAGAGGAACAGCAGGGAGCTGGGAGAGCTGCAGGGCAAACTGCAGGAGAAGGTCAGTCAGGACAGTCTAGCCGAGCTCAGCAGTGTGAACAGTCGCAACTCAATACATTTGGTTGTGCTGAGCTGTATTTGAAGTCTGTCTCCTTGAGGAAAAAATGTAGGCTCATGATTAAAGTTATGACATTACAATAATGCACAAATCTGCAAAATACTTTTTACTTTTACTGGGCATATCCCAAGACTATGTACAATTGCTATGTTTAAATGAATAGCAATATTCTAATAGTTACTCTAACAATACAGTTTTTAAGATATTTTAGTGACAAATAATGGAGTCCGACCTTACTGATGATACATGCTACCATCTGCTTCTACTATAATGATTAGAAGAAAGGGAAAAGGCTTGGATAGGTCGCATGAGATAATACAAAAATCAACAATCTACTTTATGTATGTCTGTATAATTGCCTTGCCATCAACAAGTCTTAAACCAGACACGTATGCATGTTCTTTTAAATGTGTATTTGTGTGCGTGCGTGCACGTAGACAAGTCTGGAGGAGCAGCTGAAGCAGAAGCTTCTGGAGGAGCAGTTTGCTCTGCTGCTGGGTACCGTCACAGAAGCTGAGAACATCATCCAAGATGCTGTTGCTAAGCTAGATGATCCCCTCCACGTACGCTGCACCAGCTCTCCAGGTCAGAAACCTACTGTTATTGTACGACAGACATAAATTAAACAGATTAACAGTATGTGTGAGAATGAAATATGTAAAAAAGCTAATTGGAGTGTTACAAAGACTATATACTATATATTGTCTATTCTAAAAAAACCTCTGCTTTTTTTTTCATTCCTTTGTTTGTCCTCCAAACACAGATTACCTCATAAGTAGGGCGGAGGCCACACTGGGCTCCTTGGACAAAGTGAAAAAGGGCCATACAGATTATCTGAGTAACATGGGGGGTAAGTTTGCTCTACTTCTGATTTAACACGATCCTGCTGACCTCATGACAGTTTGTGGCTGTTTTATGTTTGTTAATGTGGCATACTTACTGTATGCTCTTGTAACCAGATGCTGGAGGGCTGCTGAGGGCTGTGACCCAGTTCTCCCACTTGGCTGCTGATACAATCATCAACGGCAGCGCCACAGCACACATGGCACCCACTGACCATGCAGATCGTAAGGAATATCTCAGATTACTTCCTTGGCATTACACCAGTTATACTTGTAGTTATTTTAGCATGTGTTATCCAGGCCATACATTCACATGTAAAGCCACATCTCAGTGATATAAATTGATGTTTTCAGTTTTGATTTCAAACTTCAAATGCTTCAAGCAATATTTGAAAAGTCGGTTTTAAATGTCACTGTAAAAAGAATGCAGCATTCTGGCTGATAGTTGATCACTGCCCTTTTAAACCCCGCAGGACTGACGGAGAACTGCAGAGGCTGTGCCACTCAGAGTCTGCAGTTCTTCAAGGACCTGAAGTCCAAGACCACCCTACAGAGGGCAGACCCAGCCCACATTCGCATAGTCATTCAAAAGATCCTACACTTGGGTCAGGTGAGAAACACTAAAAGAAAATGTCTGTTTGTTTTTCATAAAATGGACTCTGAAACCAGGGACTCAACTTATGCTAAGATAAGGAGCCCCCTGTTCGTAATATGAGAGATGAAAAACAGTTAGTTTGTACATTAGACTGCATTTCATTAGCTCTGTACCCATACTAGCAATGAGTTATTCAAGTAATTCAATAAAGTTGAATCTAATCTATTCTAAATGAATACAGTTTTTGGACAGTCCACTTGCAGACACTGCTACTGCAGACAATTAATATGAAACAAAAATATGATTGTGAATAATAATCTTCATCTACTCTACTGTGGGCAACATCTGTCACCCTACTCTACTAACCAGCTGTGATAAATATCTCTACCAGATATGCAGAGCTCTTCCTCTTTTATTGAGCATCACCACAGAGTCTGTACAGTGTGCAGACACCTTATGTAGGTTTACTACTTGTTTCTGGGACAGTCAGAGAAACATCCATCAGTAATCCAACACCCACAGGTGACAAGTTGGTCTCACATTAATTTAAAGCGGAGATGAACTCTCAATTGAACCACCTTCTAAGGAAGCCAAAAATAAATTGCTGAAATATCATTTCAAATATAGTTTGACTCTGTGTCAGTGGGTGTTGTATTACTGATGCATGAACTGCTTTAGCTTCCCTCTACAAAAAGAAGAAATCCATAGGAAGCACATCCAGCCACCTTCTGAATTATGAAGGGTTTAAATGCAAGCAGTGTTCTTATGCAGTGTTTCGATTTGGCAATAAAATATCTGTAATTATATTTATATTGTATGATTTTGTTTGGATATCAAATGTTGTTTCTTCATCTAGAGTTGTTAACGTTAACATTCCGTTTTCACTCTGGATGTTTTAAGTCCTTTCCAATCTTGTAAACTTGTGTCTTTGTCGTGACTAATCATTTTTCCTCTTGTTATATGCAGGAGCTGCGGCCAAAAAGCATGGACGTTCGTCAGGATGAGCTAGGAGATCTGGTTGAAAAGGAAATGGCTTCAACATCAGCGGCTATTGAGGAGGCAGTCCGCAGGATTGATGTAAGTAGTGTAAATATTAATTTACGGTGGATTAATATTATCCATAATAAATGTACCTGTAATACTGGACTGAGAAATGTCATGTGTGATTCTGCTTTTTAGGAAATGATGAATCAGGCACGAAAGGACACTTCAGGAGTTAAACTGGAGGTCAATGAAAGGTTTGTTCATTTTTGGGACTTTACCTATATAAACTATTTAAACACCAACTTGTAACAAGATGCATCATTTGTTTAGGTTGAATTCAAATCTGACTGGTGATGGTACAGTCACAGTCTTTCAGATTTTGAAATCCCTCGACCAATAATTCAAATTCTTGAAATGCGTCTTCATGCTTTCTGTTACCTTTTTCTTTCCTGTCGTTGTTCAGTAAATGTTGAAAGGCCACAACCTGTAAATTCTGTTTTAACTCTCTATTTCACTCTTTTACAGAATCCTCTTCAGCTGCACAGACCTGATGAAGGTACTGTTGTTTGACAGGTTTCCACTAATGTAGTGTTTTGCCATAGTCTACCTACATATATTCTATTTTTAATGAATGTCCTAATGAACATTTTTATTACACATTTCTTGGCTCTCTTCGGTTATCATCCACTCTGCTGCAGGCCATCCGCATGTTGATCATAGCATCCACAGACTTGCAAAAGGAGATTGTCGAGGGTGGGAGGGTGAGTCACACTGTTCTAATTTTGAATCTCAAAACTGGCAGCTCTGTTTAGTTTGAGTTGAACAGCTTTTGTTTCTGAGAACAAACTGGGAGATGCTCTGTTCCATTCAGGAAAAACAACTAACAGGACTTATGTTTTTACTTGTTAAGGGCGCAGCCACCATTAAGGAGTTCTACGCCAGAAACTCTCGCTGGACCGAGGGACTCATCTCTGCTGCCAAGGCTGTGGGATGGGGAGCCACAGAGATGGTGTAAGTTAGACAGGACCAGAATTATTCTGCTTATATTCCCATACTATTAAATATATTTCATGTAGTCACTACTGTCCAAACAAATTGTGAGACAAAAATGGTCTATACAGGATGTGGCTTCTCAACGAATATCAAAAACAAGAGTCAATACTTGTGACATGAGTTCAGATTGTAAAACTATTCCAGCTGCTAGAACTAGGGACTTTGCTAGAAATGTTGTTTTGCCTGACAATAACTTAACAGCTGAAGCACAATAAATATCAATGGCTTGTTTCTGGGCCCCTTAAATCATTTGGGGAAATAATTCAGGGGACCCAGAAATGTTGCATATTATGAGTTAATTCTGACTGGAAAAGATGTTTATATACTAGGAGAGGATGCTGTTATGCTGATGGTCAAACTGCAATTATACTCATGATACAAAACAGACCTAATGATGATTTATCATCGACCCGAAGTGAACTGTACCCCTTCTAGTTAGGTGGATTGAAGTGGTGGTATAACTTTATGTGCTTCCTCACAGGGAGTCTGCTGATAAGGTGGTGCTGCACACCGGCAAATACGAAGAGTTGATTGTCTGCTCCCATGAGATCGCTGCTAGCACAGCACAGCTGGTTGCTGCCTCAAAGGTAATTTACGAGAAAAATACAACAACAAAAACCTTTGCCATTACTGCTTTACTAAAATGTACTACATTTTATTATCATTGTTTTGGAAGTGTGACAATAACACAACAATATTCTCCACTTTTCTCAGGTGGGAGTTTGATGTGTCGTCACATGAGAGCAAATTAGCTATTATCACATTTAATTATCAAGCAATTTATTTTGCTAATGCAACTCTCTCCTTTTTTAATACACTTAGTAGCACATTGACTGTGTAATGGGTTATGTGAATGAGTCTTTTGGTTTGATGTGTAAAACTGTGTCATCTGGACTCCTCACGCTCTCCTCTGCACTCAGGTTAAGGCAGACCGCAACAGTAAGAAGCTGCCAGTTCTTCAGCAGGCTTCTCGCCGTGTGAATGAAATGGCAGCTAATGTGGTGGCCTCAACAAGGACTGGCCAGGAGCACCTGGAGGAAAAAGGTGAGTACAATGTGATGTTCGTACTAGATCACCGAATACTCTGATCTCTAATAACTGTTTTATCCAAACACTATGCAGATACCATGGACTTCTCTGGGATGTCCCTCATCAAGTTGAGAAAAGAAGAAATGGAGTCACAGGTAAGTCATGGTCATGGCACCGTAAGGCGTTGAGTGATTGTACCTTTCTTTTGATACTTTTGATGTTACACTCCTCAAATGTAAGGCTATGTAAGGACATTGAAAACACGGGTCATGTAACATTTCTGTGATATATTTGTTAATGAGATCAGAATAATGCATTTTTGCATATTTTCACATTAATGAGCCTGACATGCAACTGATTTGACATTGTGGAAGTTAAGTTGAACTAAATATAGCAAATCTACCAAAGACAACAAACTGTTTGTTTCCCGCCCCGCAGGTGAAGGTGCTGGAATTAGAAAGTCACTTGGAAAGTGAGCGTCTGCGTTTGGGCGAGCTGAGGAAGAAGCACTACGAGTTGGCCGGAGTTCCTCTAGAGCAGGTTTCTGAGGGGAACGGTGAGACCTCCTCGCCCGCCCATCCTGCCATAATGTCGCCAAAACCCACCAAGCCTGCTCTCATGAAGAAACCTGCTTTGGCCCAGAAACCCAACATACCAACCAAAACCACGGTAAGGGCTGTGAGGAAATGGCTATATGTTGAATATGACAAAATAAGATTTGACTTGTTGGTAAATCTTTTCTTTATCGGTCTCTTTTTGTCTGTATGTTGCAGTTTAAGTAATGCCTGAGCAGAAGAGGAAAAGGGTACACTAATAGATGGTTGGATTGACCAGAGAATTATCGCCTTTTGGTTAACATATGGTTCCTTTAAGTTGCATGCTGACAATCCCCTGCCCTGTCCTGCTTCTCACTGTTTTCCTGTCCTCTTTTGTTTTTAGCCAAAATGGACCAGAAGCCTGATTTGTTTCTTTCTCTCTTTTTTTTTTACCCTTGATGCCTGTAAGGGATATGCTGTCTTAATAACTGCCTTTCTTTTTTTTTTTAAAGATACATATGTATGCCATCAAGACGGAACCCTTTTTATTTTAGTATTTGGCATCAAGAACAAAAAAAGTTTAATGGTATACTTTTAGGCTGTGTGAAAGTATTTTTTTCTGCATCACTAAAATTGTAGGTGATCAAGCATTACTGCTGCTTTTAGAATAAAAACTTGGTGATAATCACAAATCAACAGTGTAACTTGTATGTCAGTAGTTAACTTTTTTGCACGATATTTTGGACGTTCATTCCAGAGCACATCACATTTTTTAAAATGTACACTATATGCTATTTATGTTGTAAATAGCACACTGCAAAAGAAAGTGGGGAATCACATGTTGCTGCAAAAGTTTTAGATACCTCTGGCTTTGCCTTCATGATGGACATTGTTCCTTAGATGTGAAAAACTGCATTTCTTTCTCAACAGTACACGATTGTCTTAGAGGCCTTGAAATGTACTGTACTAATGCATTGAATAATACCTGTAAAGACATACAGTCTGTATATGAGTGTGCAACATCACATCAAGTATAGTTTATATCTACACACATGAATGTCCCTTGTTTGAGGAGAACCTAGATATTATGTTAAAGAATACAGATAGGCTTGCACACAAATAATGGATGTAGGTGTCCTTGATCATCAAATGCTTACAGGGTCTTAAAATTCATCTTTTTATGTTCTGTTCTTTCCTCTGTATGAAATGTCTTTATACACTCAGATCTATTAATATATTTTAGTAAAGATAATGGTGGTTTCTCCTTGTAAGAATTGTAAATGTCAAACAAATGAACAATAAATGTTTGATTTAATGTCCCATTGTGTTACTACTTTTTGTTATGAAGCTTTTTTAGGTATAATTTGCTCAAATAGTTTATAAACAATGACACATTAAAGAAGAAATTGAAATAATTTAATGTTTTTTCCCCCAACAGTCTTGAATAGGTTATATACTATTATGAGGTTAAACAAAACTATTTTGTCAAGCTTGTAGGATTAACCATAGTCAACTGTATTAACAGCTGATAACTAAAACTGATTTATTTCTATTAAATTACTATGCAATACTAGATGTAAGGTTGTATTAGTAGCTAAAAATTAGTTAAGTGAAATATTCTCTTGGTTTTATATTCCTACCAATAAATTAATTTGCCGTTTAAGACATTAATATTTTAATAAATACCATTTGTCTAAAGATTATTATTTTTATTTATTTATTATTATAGGCCGCACGTACCTCAAGTGCCAAGCGGTGAGATATTTTAAAAGCTTAATGATGGGCATAGATGGTAATGAACTAGTAATATCATGACATGCGCAGTAGGACTTTGAATCAACGTGGAGGGAGGGCTGCTGCCTTCAGGAGCGACTGTAAATATGAGGATTTATTAAACTTGTTAACTTTTTATATACAGTCTATGGTTGTTAATAAATTCTGATTATTTGTCTCTACGACAACATTGAGCGCTGCTGTGCAACCATCAGCCGGTGTCTTTGCCGTATGTCTTTTTAACTGGTACGTCGTTTAGCTTATCTGAATCAAACACTAGGCAGCAGCCACCCCAAACGAAGCTTTCTTATTTACAGTATACACTAGTTGCTTTATAAAGTTCGTGATGCTTCTGTGACTTTGAGAAGCAGTTACTGACTTGAACATGCGCTAGGGTGATATGTATGACCGTTGACAGTAACATGTACGAGTTTTCACGAGGGCTTTGAAGGCAGCATGAAAAATAAAACTGCGTCGGGAGTTTAAACGGTCAACAAACTAAAACAAGTTCAGTCCATGTTCACGCACGCAAGCTTCTCCACAGCAAATGTGAGTCTACTCAGGGTGTCGGAGGAAATAGAGATATGTTGAATGTCAGAGGTGAAAATAAAAGACAGGACAGACATGGAAACCTGCGTCATGTCAGCGCTGGACAGACCCGCGGCGGAGCTGACCGTTGTGGATGTGTACGACATAGCGGCGGTGCTCGGACAGGAGTTTGAGCGGATCATCGACAGGTTTGGGTGCGAGTCTCTGGTCGGGGTGGTGCCCAAAGTGGTGCGGGTCCTGGAGCTGCTGGAGGCGCTGGTGAGCCGCGGAGCCGCCGGACAGGAGGCCGAGGAGCTGCGGAGGGAGCTGGATAGGCTGCGGCAGGAGCGGAGCGACAGATACAAGCAGGAGAGAAAGCACCAGAAGGTCTGTGTGTGTTCATGTCAACCTAACTGCCTGTCTCTTTATTATCTGTCTGTCTACTTGTGTGGTTACCTGGTTGTGCTCCCTTTGTCTACCTGTCTGTCTGCCACTGTGCATGTGTGGTGTGACCTACATGTTTCAAGGTAACTATGTTTTGACATTAGCAAAAGTGTTCTTTTTGTCAGACCAACAGTGGAAAAACCTAAAGGTAACGTTAATCAGTTAATTATGATGAAACAGAAAAAAGCAGAAATGCCTAAACTAGAAAAATATTTTATTTAAATTGCTGAACAATTAACTACCATTGAGTACTTTTCTGGCAATTACTGACTTATCAATAACTCAATTTAGCGCTATTTTTAATACTTAGTATAGTTAATTATATATTATAATTATAGTATAGTATACTATAATTACCGTAAAACATAAATTAATAGCCTGGGTTTTATTTACTTAAATCACTAAACTTACACTGCCTATATTTGGGGCAGGAGTTTTTATATGGGCAGGCCTTTAATGTCTTTACCAAGCTGGTAAATTTGAATGAATAATACATTGTTTCCACAAAATGAATTAAACATTATATTGTGGAGAATCCTACGATCTAATGATGTCCATATTGACTAAAGTTTAAACATTTATATTTGTATGTGTGATCTAAGCAGCTTAGCTCAAGCAGGCAACCCCGTGGGCTTTATGCATGCAGAGAATTTCTATAAAAACCAGACCATGCTTTTAATTGAGACCTGCCTTTTTTTAGTCAAAACATGTAGCTACACCAGGCCAGTAGAAGGGACAGGCTTCTGATTGGGACTAGGCTTTTAATTGAAGTTTTACGGTACATTAGTTTAATATAGTGTATTAATGGTGTGTTCCATTTACCTCGGAAGTCGGAGGTCGGAGCTGGGAATGACGTCACACCCAAGTTGACGGCGTTCCAGTTAACAAGTCAGAAAACCTTGCTCAGCCAGCCGTTGTTTACAACTAGCCAGGTTAGCTATTGATACGCCGGTTGATTAAAAAAACGCATTGTGCGGTATTTACTCATACTAAACACTGTAGCAACACGACCACATACAGCTGTTGGACAGCACTTTGTGTACGAACATTTATATGAGACACAAGTACACAGAAGTGCTAATAAACAGTATAAACTAGAGCTTTCACTAACTGTTGATACCCCGACAGCCATCTTGGATCACAAAGTCGGGGTAGTGCGATTCTCCCGACTTCCGAAGTCGGGATTCTGACTTAAGGGGGCGTTCCCTTTGAAATTTTGACCTTTGAACTCGCCCCATTGCCCCATTAAGTGTTGTTGACTTTGTCATGCCCTCATTGGTGTTCATGGAGCAACTCTTTTCAAACAAATACCTAGTACTCTGTGCAGATTCTTTTTTTATTATTTCATATGCTCAGGAGTTGGAGATGGTGGAGGATGTGTTGAGAGGAGAAGTCCAGGACCTGCTCTCTCAAATCACTCAGCTTCAGGCAGAGAACAAGAGGCTGTTAGCCACCATCTCTCTCAAAGAGTCCCCTGTACCAGAGGAAGACCTGCAGAAACAGGAGGGTGGGTTATCTGCAGCTCTCAACCCAGGTTGATTTATGGGACAGGAAGGGTTTATTCTTTTTTACATATTATTCTCCTTAGATTTTTTCAACTTTTCTAGTGGAATAATAAAAATGAAAAATTCTCAGCCTCCATTGAGGCTTTAATTTGAAATTTTCATGTTCAAATTATATGGTGATATGGACTTACCAATCCGATACCATGCCAATATTTATTGCATTGCAGGAATTATTTGCGTTGCGCTGATCAATCATCTGCTGTGTGTCACACATATTTACCCTGTGTAGTCACAGTATATGCTGCATGCTTTTATGTTGACATGAAAAAGGAGGCCAAGAAGAGAGCCAGTCAGGGGCTTGTAAAGGAGACTATTTTTGAAGCAGACCAAAATATTTGCTCTTGTGTGAGACTTTCATGGTGGCTGCAGCTATACTTAACAGTCAAGGCAACAGTACAGATACACTGCTTATAAACACGTACATCCAATTGAATGGGTACTGCATGATATGATTAGTCTGCTTACTGACAAATTATTTGTCTAGAAATAAAATACATTCAAGGTGTTACAGATGCTTATATACCACGAAGACGTCTCTGTAAGTCTTTAAGAGACCAGGTTTTGAAGTACTAGTGGTTTGAACTGAACTGAAACTGTGTATATTTTACATTACTGATGACAATTTTCCAAAGATTACCATAACTTTTCAGAGTGATTTCCTACCTTTTAGTCAGCCATTAGTTTTACTTCATTTTGATACACTGTGGCAATCAACTTGAAATTAAGAAATTAATAAAAAAAAAAAAGAAGTGTGGTTTCGAAAATACTTAAGACTCACACCTTCACACGCACTAAAATAGAAAAACCACTTTTCTGTTTAATGGTGTGGCAGCCTCTTGTTAGATTGCATTGATGTTGCATGAACATTTTTCTGTGTTTTTTTCTCTGATACCACAGGAATGTCAGAGAAGGAGAGTCAGGTGATGAAGAAGCTGAAAGACTTGGTGGATAAGCAGAGGGATGAAATCCGGGCTAAAGACCACGAGCTGACACTGAAAAACGAGGATGTTGAGGCAGTGAGGATTTAGAACATACACAGCACATACACCTGACAAACTATTTATATTAGTTTGCAATTTACTTCCTTTGAGCAGATTTTGTGAAGTCATAATATGACTTTTTACTCAACTGTAGCTCCAGATGCAGCAGCATCGGCTGATAAAAATTAACCAGGACCTTCGTCACAGGATGGGGGTGATGGAGGGTCAGGGCAAGGCACTGATCCAGCAGAGGGCTGAGCTGGAAGCTGCAGCCCAGGCACAGCAGCAGGACCTGGAGGCTCTGCAGCTGGAGGTCACGAGGCTGAGAAAGGAGCTCCGGGGGTGGGACCTGAGAGAGGTCACTGACATAGAAGAAACCTCTCTTGCCAGATCTGGGATGTCATCACCTCCATCACCACAGATGACCGTAAGGAAAAGGACTTATCTTCAATAGGGTGTAAACCATGAATATAATTAGGTTGAAATTATGTTTCTCTATAGTTCATAAAATCTGGCAGGTTTTCTAGTGCCTAAGTGGTTTTGTTTTACCAATCCAGTCTTCAGCAGCAGCCGCCGCCTCACCATCCAACTCCATCAAACCAGATTCAGTGTGGGTGGAGTGTGGAGGGGACTCTGACTTCCTGGCGAACTGCTTTGAGTGTGACAAGAGTCCTTCCCCTCTCCGGAGCTCGTCAAACAGAGAAAATTATGAGGAAGAGGGTGACGATGATGAGGACAAAACAGCATTGTTACTGGTAACACCTGCTTAACCCTCCCCTGTGCATAGTTTTACTGTGATTATAGTAGAGACACAACTATTTATAATAAACACAAAGAGATACGACTATTTACAATAAACACAAAGCATTATAACTGTCATGCTGGTGAGTCTTGAACACATTTTTTGCCCTGTGACACATTTGCAAAAGCTTTTGTTTGTTTTGTTTTTAAGTCTGCTTTAGTTACACCAGCTTACAGCATTTTACTTCTTATTTTCTGCCAGCTATTGATATGAATAACCACTCTGCTGTTACCCCCCTTACACCCTTGTGGTGTGCTTCTGTACAGCGATCTGCTTATCAAAACATTGCTCTACAACATCACTAGTGGCCATAACTCTACAGGGTACCTTTACTATTTTAGGTAGTCGAAACAAAGCCACCCGTTGCATTATTAGTGTCAGTGTGTGGCCATTCTGTGCAGGGAGAAATGCTGAATGTGTGTTTTGACTGCTGAAGGTGTCAGCTGATACAGAGACAGAGGAGGGAGCAGACAGCCTGGAGGACGAGTCAGAAAAACCTCGCTTCACCTTGCAGGAATTGCGAGATGTCCTTCAGGAGAGGAATGAACTCAAGGCCCAAGTGTTCATGCTACAGGAAGAACTGGCATATTACAAAAGGTACGATTTCTTTCCAAAATTAAGACTGGACAGATCTTAATTGCATATAACTGATGCGCAAATTTAACCGTTGCATCACCCATATTCCTCAGTGAGGAGTTTGAGGATGTCAGCTCCATTGTTTGTGCTCCATCTCCTGCGCCATACTCCAGTTCGACTGATCAGCCTGAATCAGGAATTAGACGCTTGTGAGTAAAGAGTTTGCCACGACTCTCGCACACTTTTCTTCATTCACCAAGGTTTACCTTTGCACTTGTCAAGAGGGCCAGCGCTTCACTGCCGTGTGTTAATTTCTCCTGTGACACTCCATTGGTGTAATTTATCAACATAATGTCTCTTACAAACGTCATCAGACAACCTTAAATGATTTTACTTTAAAACAATTAGAGCTTTGTTTCGTATCTAATGAGATGTCAAAGGTGAGGGTCACAACATACAATATAATACTGATAATAATACTGCTGATGCTTGTTGTGTTCTCTAACTCTAAACATATCATTATTCTGATTGTCACCGTTTCCATTTTCATCAGGATCTTCACTGCCATTATGCCGATGGTGGCAGCCGGTTTGATTGCAGATGACCCCACGTTGTTGCCAATCAGAATACTTCTTTCCTCTGTATGACCTTGTGTTAAAATTCTCAGTTTGTCAAAGATATATTTACAGGAATTGGTTTAATGGCTTCATTATTTGGTCATTTTAAACTAAATCTGTAAGATGTTTATACACTTTAAACTGTGATGAATGAACCACTGTTGTCACGACTGGTGTCAACTTTTAAAATATATTTTGGTAGAATTTTAGCTAACTTGAGAAAGGCTTTAAATGAACCAAAGTAAATGTGGCTAATGCCTGAGCACTTGTATGTGTATTTATGACCTCTCAGGGTACGAGAGTATGAATAGAGTTTTAACAAGCACTTTCAAGTTCTTCAGCAGTCTTTAAATAATGTGTCCAGCTGCCGTAAGACTCATAAATGGCACATTTGTGTGTGTTTAAGTGATGTTAAGATGTATCTGATGGCAAAGTAAGTTGCAGTGAATGAGCTGGATGATCATGTTCCTCTGTTTTCCAGTAAGAGACTGTTTAAGATCATGTGCTTAGTGCCAGCACTGAATTGATGAAAAGCGGATGTTAGTGTGTACTTGCACCACTACAGTCTGGCACCACACTCTGTGGTTTATACTTAGAGTAGTACAATCATACTGGTAAAATACCAGAAGAAACCTATTCCAACAATGAGTACTGTAAAAACATGTCCTAACAAACAATATGTGCTGGGTTGGGTTGCATCTGTAAAATAATGCTTGTTCAGAATAATAAATAGTAATAAAGTTTTATTTTTCAACTTTTGAATGTTTTTGTTGAGTTACTATCAAATACTAATATGGCTACGACAAATATGCTAGATGTCGTAGAGGTCATGTTCATGTCCTTAAAATGAATTTTCCCAGTTTTGATAGTTAATAGTATTACATAGACATCATTTTGTGTAGGTAAGAATCTTTCCTGGGCCATTTCACTCTAATGAATACAAACTTATAGAAAATAGGTTATAACAAAAAATATACTTCACCACCTGCACTACACTATATATTTATATATAACACTATATATTTGCAGCACATTTTGAATTTTGATTTTGTCCAAAACTGTTTAAACATCAAAAACAGAATGATGGCAAATATACTGCATTTTCTTAGTAACCAAGCAGAAATATATAGAAAATCTTAGCAGAATATTTACATAAATTTGCATAGAGAACTGTGTGGAGTGTTTTGAAAAAAATGGTTTTGAACTACAATCTGAATGTAAAGCAGGAAATGAGCTTGCATTTTAGCAGATTTGGTTCAGGGGTTGATATTTACAAGCAGTGTGGTCATTGTGTCTGAAGTACCAGTGTTACTGGTACAGTTTTTTGTTTGAACTTTTAAATTACTATAGAAAAGAATAATGTAAAGGATACTGAAGCAAATTTATGCATTTCTGTTTTATTCTTGTTACATATTTACAGTCAATAAAGTGAAATTATGTTATTCTTTAAGTAAATATTAATTTATGTGAAAAATCATTCAAACTTCAAAGATAAACATTCATCACTTCAAGTCCATGTGTTATGAGCAACCTTCCTGAGTGAGAATTGTAGCCAGTGTTATGGTCGAGCTTATTTTGAGACATGTATGAAGTGTTTTGGTGGTCTGAGTAAGATTTGGAGGTGAGATGAACTGTTGGGCCAAGATGCATGTCGGTGACGCAGACTGTATGAAGAGTTTTGAAAAAGTGGGTTCAAGTTTTGACCATTTCAGAATAGCAATAGTCTGTAAACACGTAAAAGCACGTGCTTTCTCACCTGATCCTGACAAGTGCAAAACCTGCTTTCTCTAAACGTGAAAAACGAAGTTCGATCGAGAGTGTTGAGGGAGTCATCTTGAGTCGTACACGATCTTTGTACTCACCTGTCTCTAGGATACTTTGCCCTCCTCTCTGCTGTCCAACGAGTCGTGTCATTGGTGGGTGAGTGATGGGGGAAGTGCTGCTGCTCTGGAAGTTAGTAACCTTCTGCCAGTAAATGTGTTGAAGCGAAGACAACAAGAAAGAAAGCGCTGTTTATAGAGTTTTGTTGGTAGTAGCTGGCAGAGAAAAGTTTGCTTTATTCCGGTGTTTTTATCGTTTCGCCGCCATGGAGTTCGTTGAAGAGTCGTCGCCAGCCTTGGCTTTCGAGAAGGACGCGTTTGAGCTCACGGTTGAAGATGTGTATGACATTTCGTATGTAATCGGGCGAGATTTGTTGAAAATAAGCAGCACGGGCGAAGAAGTCTCGGATTTACAGTTTAGGATAGTCCGCGTGCTGGAAATGTTCGAGACGTTGGTCAACAAATACAACTTGTCTCTGGAGGAGCTGAAAATGGAGCGGGACAACTTGAAGAGTGAGCTGGACAGGATCATCAAGGAGAGCTCCTCTGGGCAGGGCACGGTGAGTCTTACATCGCCTGGTTGACAAGTTCTTGTCAGACACAAGTGGACGTTTAGAAGTGATTTTTTCTCCCCCTGTGTGCCATCAAAGCAAACGGTGGGACCAAACCAGCTGTTGGTGGACCTGACAGACCCCAACAGACCGCGCTTCACCATGCAGGAGCTGAAGGAGGTCCTGCAGGAGAGGAACCAGCTGAAGGCTCAGCTCATGGTCGCCCAGGAGGAGCTTCAGCTGTACAAGAGGTGAGCAACTGAGCGTAAAGTTCACTCTCAGCTAGGACTCAAACAAAGGTTCAACATCCATCATGTAACCTCTTTCCTTAAAGTGCATTATAATGTAATATGTTTGCAATGTGTGGTCCACCTCCATTTTTATACACACGATGAGGACAGATCACCTCACTATAATGTAATCCACCACTAACTACAGCTTCACAAATGACCATATAATTAAATCAACACCTCTCTGACACACTGAAAAAAACAAAAACAAAACCTGAACATATGCTTCTCAAAAGCAGAATGTAATTGCAGTACTACACCAGATTGTTTAAGTGTAGCTAATAGTCCTAATGTGTTACTCCAATGTCAAAATGTTGATTTAAATTGTACAACTTGTTCATGTTTTAAGATAAACAATATATGTATTGCAGTTATTTTGACAGAAATTACGATTTGCGGTATGATTCACGATCAGTGGGAATAATAACTTTTTAAACAATTCAATTTTAATTTTCACTGAAAAATTTATTACAGTCATGATGATGGGACATTTGTTAGGGTCTGTACCAAACAAACAAGTTTTCTTATATCTGGAGAATTTGTGGGCCAGGTCATCTCTGCAGCACTACAGTACTTCATTACAATGCTGTTTTGTCACACATTTACCTTCATAAAAAAAAAAGAACTGCAGCTCCTGCAATTTGGATATTGCACTTGACCATACTGCCATTTGGATAACATTTTTGATTAATTGTGCAGCCCTAATTTAAGATGGTAAATAAATTCCTTAAGAATGACAGATTGTTAAAAACCATCTGTAGGTCTACTAGTAGACTCACTGACAATATTAATATTAGTACACATCTAACAATATTTTTATTTAATGGGCCCCAATGCCCAGTATTATCCTACCCATGTCATTACTCATACAGAATCATTTAATATAATATAATATACTCTGCTCTAGTATAAATACATACAATATAATATAATCCACTGGTTTTCAAAAAAGCAATTTTATTATGTTGCTAATGTGACATATGTAATTCCGAAATAAATTTCTACCGCATTTCAGCTGATTTTGCAAATATCAGCAGTACAAATGAACTGTGCTGATGATATAAAGCTGAAATTAGTCTCCCATTTCATTACTACTTTAATTTTTTTAAATAACAACACTGGTTCTAGTAGGGGAAGAGAATAATTCAATATCATAAATAGCTCCAACTTCACAGTGTGGATTTAGTTGTACACCTATTTTTGATGCACGACACCTTTACACAAAATATTCTCAGTGACTATGAAGCTCTCCTTTCCTCTGCAGTGGGATTTTGCCACAGGCTGAACCAGCCATGGTGGAAGTGGATTTGGAGACACCAGCAGCTACAGAGCACAGTCCAGCCTCAATAAATGGTGCAAAAGAGGAGAGGACAACCATAGGCAAACTGTGAGTAACAGGCGGGATCGCTAAATACAGTCATGAGAATGTGCAGACAACAAAGAAATAATCTTAAAGAAGTAGCCCAAAGTAATTTAAACATTTATTTCTAGCTGTACACATCAGATGGCAAGGTTTCAGGAACATTTTCAGCAGCAACCACATGATGTTGGAGTAAGCTAGCTGGGAGATTGTTCTCACAGCCTGTCTGCTATCTCCTAATGATATACTTGTGACCAAGTGAATTCATGCTGATGCTGAGGATGTTTGTGTGAGCACTGAATGAGAGAAGGAAAGAAGTTGGAAATTGGCAGTGTGTCTGCCAAACTAGTGCTGCTGTCAGTAATTACAGTCTGCCATGACTCAGTGTTTCTTTCTGGCACTGAGCAGTTTTACTTGTTCCATGTTCACACCACTTGCTTTAACTATTTTTTCTGTTTATAGGTTTTCATTCAGGCGAAAATAAGAAAAACCTTTCCCAAGAACGGACCATGTAAGAAGACAAACAGTATTTGTCTGCACTCTCATCAGTTAACCACTTTTATATTGACTATTTTTACAATGTGTATTTGTCAGTCTAACAAGCTGTGTATTTTGAACTGGTATTTTTTACCTAAGATGGTGTATAGTAATATAGTGTTTCCTGAGTAGAAAGATATTATGTGGAATGTTTTGTGAAGATATGAAACTGGAAAGTATTTCTCTTAGTAGTGTTGGAGAGTCTCTTGTATGTATTAACTCAAAATGAAGTTATTTATAGGCTTAAAATGCATTTTTTTTATAAATCAAAATTAAGTCAAGGGGCTTCATGGGGGTCCAGTAATCTAAAACACATTTTCTGTAACTCAACTGTCAGCTATCAAATAAATTTAAAAGAATAACATTTTAAATAGTATGTTTCTTTTCTGGGGTTCAGTATTTTAAAAGCTTATGTGTTATTTCACATTAATATTACATGTTGTGATTTCAAGTCAAAGTAGACAAATCACAGCAGACAGATGAACAACAGCATCACTTGACTTTAAACACACCAATAACAGGATATTAAGGATTTAGGGCTTAATTATAAAAGGCATAATCCCTGTTACTCAAGTCCTATACCTGAGTGTTAATGTAGGCTTCTATATTGAGATAGTGACTGGATGAATCACACAGTACATTTACATTTACTCATTTGGCAGACGCTTTTATCCAAAGCGACTTACATTTGAGGAACAACATACAAGCGTCAACAGAGCATCAAATACAGATCTACAACTGACAATACATACTAGTAAGAGCTCATAGTACATATCACATCAATGGGGTAAATACCTAGGGAAGGAAGTAAGAGTGCAAAAAATGCAATCAAAACACAAAAGTGCAATCAGTACAAGATCATTGTGAAGAAGAGCACAGGAAGTGCATGTTAGAGGTTAGGAGTTAGAGGTGTTATAAGAGGAAGTGTTCAAGGAAGAGTTGAGTTTTCAAGAGCTTCTTGAAGTTAGAGAGGGACGCCCCTGCTCTGATGGCGTGTGGTAGCTCGTTCCACCATCGTGGTGTCACAGAGAATAGCCGGGACTCAGATTGCTTTGTGTGAAGGGATGGCAGAGCCAGGCGGCGTTCGTTGGAGGAGCGTAGCAGCCGAGAAGGAACGTAAGTTTGTATTATGGAGTTTAGGTAGATGGGTGCAGACCCAGTAGTCACTCTGTATGCAAGCATTAGTGACTTGAATTTGATTCTGGAGGCCATGGGGAGCCAGTGGAGGTCACAGAGTAATGGAGTGACATGAGTTCTTTGGGCTGGTCAAAAACCAGACGCACTGCTGTGTTCTTAACCATTTGTAAGTGTTTCACTGCACAAGCTGGAAGACCTGCTCGGAGGGCATTGCAATAGTCGACCATAACTGTAACATAACCATGGCCTGTACCAGAAGCTGGGGGGCGTACTGAGTGAGGTAGGGCCTGATTTTCCTTATGTTGTATAGAGCAAAGCGGCATGACCGAGAGACAGCAGCAACATGGCCTGAAAAGGACAGCTGGTCATCAATCATGACACCCAAGTTTCTCACCACCTTGGTTGGAGTGATGGTTGCGGAGTCAGTTTGTAGTTTGATGTTATGGTGGATAGATTGCTTGGCTGGAATGACCAAGAGTTCAGTCTTAGTTTAAGATGGCAAGCCTTTATCCATGCAGATATGTCTGATAGACAGTCCGTGATCTGCGCCGAGATGGTGGGATCGCTTGGCGGGAAGGATAGGTAGAGTTGCGTATCGTCTGCGTAGCAGTGGTAAGAAAAGCCATGCGAGCGAATGATTGGCCCAGTGAGGTGGTGTAAATTGAGAAGAGAAGGGGCCCAAGCACTGAGCCTTGGGGCACCCCTGTGGAGAGGCAGTGGGAGGAGGATAATTGTCCTTGTCACAAAACATTGTAGGAACGCCCCGAGAGGTAGGATTTGAACCACAGGGGTGCTTTACTTGAGATGCCCATTGCTGAAAGAGCGGATAGTGGGATCCTGTGGTTGACTGTGTCAAAGGCAGCTGATAGGTCAAGCAGGATAAGAACCGAGGATTGGGCTGCAGCTTTAGCTGACCTTAGGGCTTCTGTTACAGACAGAAGAGTGGGCACTCTTAAAACCAGACTGATATGGATCTAGGAGGTCATTCTGTGAGAGGAACTCTGAGACCTGTTTGAATACTGCCTGTTCAATAGTTTGATAAAAAAGGTAGAAGAGACACTGGTCGATAGTTCTCAACTTGAGTTGGGTCAAGTGAGGGCTTTTTGAGCAAGGGTGTAACCCAAGCCCTTTTGAAAGTGGTCAGGAAGGTTCCTGAAGCCAGAGAAGTATTTATCACGAGTGATTGTCGGGACCACAGTAGGAGATATGGCTTGGAGGAGATTTTTACTGTCTGTGTGTGTGTGTGTGTCACACACACACACCTTAATGCACCAGATTTCATGTTTCTCAGATCTCCATCATTAGTCACGCTATAGCTGGAATGAAAACTCAAGTTTTATTCCTCAATTTACAGCACATGTAATTTACAATAGTGAAATTGAATGGTCAATTATATTCCTTACAAAAGGGGGTTTCCTTTTGTAAGACAATGTCAAACATTACTTATCCAGGAGAAATACTTTACGTGTGTGTCAATCTGCTACAATTAGATTAAAAATATACATAAAAAGCATGATAAAAACAACTGTTTCAACAAAAAAAATAAAAATAACCTCATGAGTTGAAGCATTAGCCTCCATTTAAGACAGACATGGTTTATATACTTAATAAAAAAGCATTTTGAGGACTGCTCATCTCTAGCATCTTTTGCATAAAATTGAACAGGACAGCAGAGAGCACCAATTCATCTGAAATATGAACTTTCTGTTGTTGAGGTTTCAGTATTTGAGCCAAGGGTGAGCCAAGACTGAGGCTTTACTCCGATCACCATAGTCATACAGCAGCTCTTCCTCTGCTTTGATGTCTCTGGAAGCCACCAAGATCAGATGAGGGTTTCCATCGATGGCGTGAAGTCTAGTCTGGCAGTTGCCTGTTTTACTGTGGTTAATCAGTCTTCCAAGACGGCTTGTTTCCTTTGTAGCGTCCACACTGTAATGTGTAAAACAAAGATTAAATTGTCACAACAAGACAGGTTTTAAACACACAAGTCAGTCCATTTTCAAGCCTACTGCAATCTTAATGACACCTAGGAAATATCTATAAACATTGAGACCGCTTATTAGAAGAACTAATTTTCTAAGACAGTCCAAGTCTGTTTTTCCTCACGTTAAGTCAGTGGGGTGAATGTTTTCTAAGACAATGATTGCAAAGATATTGCCAATCATCTTAGGCGTGGGAAACACAGATCAACATTTGACATTGTATATACCAATAAATTCATTGAAAAAAATAAAATTTGACAGATTCATCAACAATGAATAAGATTATCTAATAGATTAGATGCAACCCTAGAAGACAGTACATGATATGTAAGATGTTGCTCTTCCATAAAAACTAAAAAAAAAAAACTAACCCTTTTAAAAAGGTGATTATCATTTTTTCTTCTTTTTTTTGAGGACCAGCAGACAGAGGAAACATGGGAAGAGAGAGGAATATGACATGCAACAAACCATGCTCGACCACTAAGCCACCAGGGCGCCACATCCAAACTAATTTTATAGAAATGTTGTGCAAAACAAAATGTGCACTTTGTCCTAGAAAATCCCCCCCCCGGTGTGCAGTTAAAAATGTATTTTTCCCAGAAAGTTGAAGGGAAAAGAAATGAAGTGTGAAACCTTGTGTCAATCCTATTTCGATGTGGTGGCGTTTGGACTTACCAGTATGTTTTAGATTGATACTGGAAATAGTACATGTAACAGCCTGTTTGGGGATCCTGAGCGTACTTGGCCTCTCTCATTTTAGCCTCGGGTAGTTCCAGTAGGTCTCCATGGTACTCCACAACAAACTCTCCCTTTTTGAAGCTCTTGATGGCAAATATCCCTCTTCCTTTTCCTTCTATGTGTTTGACCTGTCAACATACAAAAACCAACAAAGTGTGAAGTTCAAATGAATTAGTAGGTGTGCCGTTGCTTTACCACTGTTCTACTTTCCAAAATCAATATTACTCATTTAGGAATAATACTGCCAATGTACACAATACTCTAAAATCAGCATCAAAATATAGAGTTCTACTTTTAAAGACCACTGATAAATTATGTTGTTCCTACAAGTTTTTTTTTTTTAAAAAAACAAACAAAAACACACTGCTTACAAAAAATATTTACAATACTGAAGGGTAGTTAAATATACAATATGCTACTCTCTTGCCTGATCATTGCCGAGCTTTGAAACACGGCACCGTACATTTAAACCAGTCAGCCGTTACCTGCATTCCTTCTTCAATGCCATTCATTATCAGGTCATCGAGGTGTCTGTGTTCTTCATTCTGTCAACAATTTGAGTAAGTCAAACTTTTTTATGGCAAGATTGCATTATTCCTTATAGAAACAAAAAAAACAAAATAAGCAAATAAATATGAATATGTAAAGAACGACAGGTACAAAATGACACTGTATTAACTTGGTGGAAACTGCTTTCTCCCATTACTTACAGTTAATACAACACAGAAAGCATTTTTATACAGACCTTTAACTCTGCCTTAGTTTTTCTGTTACTCCGTCTGATGGGATAATAGTCTGTGACCTTTCTGTTTTGGGGAGCTTTATTCTCCGTCCTGAAAGAAGAGACATTATCAAAGTAATGAGGTTATTAGCAAATTTTTTTATATAAATGTACACTGATGTCTTTTCTGCACTCACTTTTTTGCCCTGACTTTACGGCCATTTCTACTCCGTGTTTTGGATGCTGAAACTTTGATGTCTGCTGCAGACCTGGTATCTGTGTGTGTCGTGGACTCTTTTTGCTCTACTTGTTCTCTTATTCCATGACTGAGACAGGCCATTTCAGATTTCTGCTCTTTGGGCTCACAACTCTCAGACTTTATTTCATCAGGCATGTCTAAAATGAGGAAGAAACAGAATGAAATTGACATAATCAAGACAGTGAAGATCCTTCAAAAAAACAAAACACTGTTAACTAGTGTCATAAGAGAGTGGTCAGTGAACACTGCTACCATTCACAGGATATTTTTTCTGTGGTACACAATATGCTGACCATACAGTAACGCAGGGGTTAATAGCAAAATAGCTGAGAGATCACAAGTAATAAAAAAAGACTAAACAGCATTTCAGATTAGTGGAGTAGAATGATTTAAGTTAAATAGGTACTCACTACTCACCTTTTTTCAGCTTTGACATGTCAGGAGTAGTTGCCTCAGATTCATTTCCTTCCTGGATCAGCATGCTTGAACCATCACTCAGCGGGGATCTCGGTTTTTTTGGACTCCGTAAACTCTGAAAAATTGATGGCACTGTACCTACGCAATCCTGCAAAAAACAAAGATGTATTTACCTTGGTGGGGGGTGGGGGGGGGGGGGGGGGGGGGGGGGGATCTTATATTGTACCATACACAGGAGTAAACTTAAGGAGTTACATCACAATCACCTAACTAGGGTTAGCAGTACTATGCAGTAATATACAGTAATATGAAATAAATGAGGTCTTATTTTATAAGGCTGTGTTTAGATTGTATTAAATGTCTTTATTACTGCTCCCACCCAATCACAGCATGCATGAATTCAAGACAAGATGAATGTAGAGGCAAGTTGCTCCTGTTCAGTTCACTCTCTTTGGATCACTTTGTGTGTGTGTGTGTGTGTGTGTGTGTGTGTGTGTGTGTGTGTGTGTGTGTGTGTGTGTGTGTGTGTGTGTGTGTGTGTGTACAAAAAACAGTTTCCTTAAAAAGCTCATTGGATCCAGAAAACTATTTACAAACTGCAAGCTGGTGAGAATTTCACCACTTCAGAACTGGATAGAATATTGACAAAATGTTCAGGTACACAACCAGTGTCATGTACAGACATATTAAAATGTATTTTTTTAATATATAAAATCAGACAGAATGTAGTTTGGGCCATATGTCATGTGCTGCTCATTAAGCAATTTCTCTAGTGTCAATGAAACATGTTTGCATCTCAAACGCTTAGGATTAAGCTCCACTACATACCCTAAACCAATAGCTATGGTCTGTCTATTAGTACACTTGATTTCTACATCAAGGTTGGAAGGGGCAGTGCACAGCTTCGACATGTTTAACGTAAAAGCCTCAAATGCAAGTAAAGACGTCCGTTATAAACACGAAGCTTCCTGCAGTGTGGTTTAGTTCACTGTAACAGAAAAGTGACAAGCTGGAGGCACCCGTCACAGTAACCTTTCGGTGGTGTGTTAACACAGACCGTGAGAAAGAACCAATGTTAGTTGGTTTTCTAACGTTACTTTATTTGACAAACACAAAGGCGTAAAGCCTAATAACAAAACGCACCTTGTTAGCTGCTGGTTTGTTTTCCTTCGTCTCTTTCCGTGAGGTGACTTTATGTTCTGCACTGTCCTCGGGCTTTTTGTCGGTTCTCAGTACATTTTTCTTTCCTTTATGAACATATAAATAAACAATAAAAGTTAAGCATTGCTTTGCTTTCTCACCCAACGCCACACAAAAGCCGACAATTACCGGCCGGCGAGTTTTATTTGTAAACAACCCTCTATTTACGCTAGCTAACGTTTGCCATTAGCTCCTACTGTGGCTTGTGTAGCATACAACAGTTACTGAAACAACACGTTTACCTTTTGCCATGTCAGTTTCCACAAAAAAATCCAGAGAGGACGAGGACTTTCTGTGTTCACTGCCTCTGCAACGACAAACATAAGAGCACTACGCTGCGGAGTAGTGCGGTGAGAGCTTGGTGGATTTAAAAACCGTACTGCGCCTCTCATTGGCTGTTTCATCCGTATGGGAGGGGCACGAGCATGAATGTAGTTCTCTCATTGGCCGCAGCTCTGGCTGTCACACAAAGGCAGACCTCTCAGACAGACACGTGCCCCACCGAAAACTCTGCCGTACTCTCATCCAATGTACTCCTGTCTATCTTGCAAAAGAGACACTGATTTCAGTAGGATTGACTGAATTAAATAAGCTATTATTATTATTCAATAATCTTCGGCATAGAAAACAAGGCTTTTTTGTATATAAAATACTGAGCAGAAAGCACCATCGATTAAATGAGTAGAATTTAAAATTCCCTATAACGCTACGTGGAGATTATTCAGGATAAATAAATAAAAATCCATTTACAGCAAAAAAAATCATATATTTTTAAACTACACTTTACCTTGTAGATATGCCTGCCATAGGGCAAACAATAGTCTTTGCATGTAACTGATATAAGTGTAGGCCTATGTGTGGAACAACTGACAATAGCATAGACTGGGGGGCAGCAGGACAGGTCAAGCCTTTAGGTTTAGGTTAGAGTTAGAGAGCTTTTGCTGACATCTAATGATAAACTGGGATAAATATTAGACTAAGAAAATTATCCAGTTAAAAATATCATTGATGCAGCTGAAATAAGTTAACTTGTTTGATCAGTGTTTTCAAATTTCACATTCAGAACTGACACAAAGACTACATATTAACACTAACATTTTACAGGAAATGAGTGAAGGGAAATTATCTCACCAAATGCTAATAATAAAGAAATCTGTATCTAAGTTAAATTACCCAAGCACATACTCATATGAATGCTTTTTTGGACATCCATTCAATCATTTTATTAGTTTAGTTTTGGTAAAAAATCTTCCTCTCTCTTGTACTGTGTGATGTACTATTGTATTAAAGATGCTATACAAATGAAAGGCTAAACATTCAAGTATTCATGTTATCGTTCTATACACAAACACAAACAAACATTTTAAACAGTGTCATTTCCAGGTTTGGAGTCTGCAGCCAGTGCTTCTTTAAACAGTCTTTTTCTCTCCAGATTTTCATTTGCCTTCCTCCTCTTCTCTTGTTTCCTCAGCTCGGCCTCTTTCTTCTTTACAAGAACTTCACTGAGTTCTCCTTTGTATGCAACATCGAGTTTCTCTCTCATAATGTCCCGAGCGCGCTTTCGATTTATATCCACAGATCTGGTCTGATGGCACTGCAGAAAAAAATGACCAAAGATCTTAAATTAACATGGTTAGTAAATCACATAACTTTGCTTGAAAGAAAAAAAAAAGAAAAAACACCCCATCCATTTAGTAGCTGTTGGAGCATTTGGTCATCATCATTTCTCTATTTTTCTTGGCACTCAAAAGGACTTCAGTAAAGTGTGAAACTCAACCTTTAAGCCAACATCGTCAAGAAGTCTTTCCATTTCAACATTTCCATGACAACTGGCCATTTGTCAATGAAGATCATGTAATATGATCAAAAGCACCAGCAACACTATACTATATGGGCCTTGAGGTGAGAATGATTTGTTTGATCTGTTTTGGGTCATTACTCACCACATATCTATTACACGTGGGCTGACAAGATAACAGTGATGAACGTTACACACAGATTAATTTAAAAATAAGATTAACCTTCACAACAATCCCACTGGGTATGTGCTTGAGCACCACGCAGTTGCTGGTTTTGTTGGTGGCCTGTCCTCCGGGTCCAGACCCTCTCACAAACTGCTCTTCAAGCTCGTCCTCATTCAGGACAGGAAGGTCCATCAGGTCCTTTTTACCGGCTGCCAAAACCCATGTCAGTCCAGGCGGGAGGGGCCTCAGCAGTGGTGAGACACTGGGCGAACCTCTCCAAACGACCCGACTGGACACATTGTACATACAGCTGATGAACGACATCTCTTTAAATAGGTGGGGTTTTTTTGGTGACTTAACGCATTACATTATGATGTAGGTCACCAATCACAGAAATTTCAGTTCTTTTACCAAATATGTCTACCTTTAAGAGTATTAGGGCTACTGTATTCTACTTTTCTGTCTCTTCCACGGTCACAGTAGCGCCTTCGTGTTTATCTTCTGCCTTCTCCTATGTCTTCTTCTACGCTTCTGTTACAGTCAACCAATCGGCAGTCGTTGTGTTCTTCTTCGTGCACAGTATACCAGGTCTTTGTTGACCCTCTGCCGCCATCGTGTGTCTGTAGCAGGTAGGAAACTGCAAAAAAAATAAAATAGGAACGCGTATGTTTGAGTTTCTTTAAAAACTCTTTCTAGTAGATGTTTTGAAGGGCGTACCTGTGCTAGAACGGTGGTTAAGGTTGGCATATTAAATGTGGCAGGGCTACGTCTACAGTCACGTGGCCCCCTTTAAATCATTTGGAAGTTCGGTGCCTAAATGCTTTGAAGGATAATTAAACTATCATAAGTTGTGAATAAAACCTCATGCCCTCTAAGATTCTGTGTTATATTAGGTTACTAAGAAACACCACTTCCCTCCAGGCCTGGAAATTGGCAACCATTGTCCCAGTGCCCAAAAACAGCACACACAATCACTTGATGATTTCAGACCCATCGCTCACACCTCTAAGCAAATGGATGGATTGTCTAGCCGAGGTGTAGAGTACACCACTCACTCTTTTGGATAAAGTGATGTGGTGATGCAGTGTACTTTTGTGGATTTCTCCTCTGCTTTCAATACAGTCCAGCCTCATCTCCCCCTGAGGGACATGAATTTCAGTAACAGCCGTGTCCAGGGTGTTTCTGAGAGGCCCCAACGAATCTGTATAAATAACACCATCTGACTGCCTTGTGCTGAATACTTTTGTTTCACAAGGTGTGTGTTTTACATTTACTCATTTGGCAGAAGCTTTTATCCAAAGCGACTTACATTTGAGGAACAACATACAAGCGTCAACAGAGCATCAAATACAGATCTACAACTGACAATACATACTAATAAGAGCTCACAGTACATATCACATCAATGGGGTAGATACCTAGGGAAGGAAGTAAGAGTTAACAAAAAGTGCAATCAATACAAGATCATTGTAGGGGATAGAAGAAGAGCACAGGAAGTGCATGTTAGAGGTTTAGAGTTAGAGGTGTTGTAAGAGGAAGTGTTCTCGGAAGAGATGAGTTTTCAAGAGCTTCTTGACGTGAGAGAGGGACGCACTTCTTTTAGCTCCTCCTCTATTCTCCATATACACAAATGAGGTAAAATATAAAAGCAAAGACATCACACTCAAAGTATGCTGAAGACATGGTCCTGGTTGCCTACAGGATGTCAACAGCCCTTCCTACTCTCAGCACATCAACCTTGGGACCTGGTTTGACGGCAGCTTCCTTGATCTTGAGGTCAAGGAGAGACCAAGGAGCTGTGTCTGGGAGGTAAGATGGGAGCAGGCAGCACAGGGCCTGTCTTCATGCTAGTTATCATGAGAGAGCAGGAAGTGGAACAGGTCACTCGCTCTAAATATCTGGGAACAACCATTGACAATAAACTCACCTTTCAGACCAATGCTGTCAGGACCGGGGGACAGAACTCAAACATAGACCAGAGTTAAGTTCAGTTTAAGGAAGTTTATTTTCAAGACAAGTGCAACAGGGGTGTGGATTGGGTGAAAGATGTTCTGGTTGGTCAGAGGGTTTGTGGTCTAGGTTCCACTGCTCTGGGTCTTGTGGTGCTGGTGAGATATCTGATTCAGGGGTCCAGGCTGGTATCTGCGATCAAGACAGGGAAAACACACATTGCTCTCAGCTCCTCAGGAAAAACAGACTAGACTCAAAAAGTTCAGGACAAAGGTTGGCTGGCATGTGCTCATACTGAGTGGTACAGCAATCTAGCAGGGACTGGAAGGTTGGTCTGGCTTTTAAAGGTGAGTAGATTGCAGGATGTGAAACAGGTGTGCTTGATTGACGTGATGTGCCTCAGGTGAGTAGACCGGAGCACTGGCGACCACGCCCTCCAGCAGCCTCAGAGCATGAAGGAGAGAGCAGAAACACAGAGACAGACGCAAATCAAAACAAACCAAGCACACAGCAGACACACCAAAAAAAAGGGGGAAAGAACTGAAATACTATATTCACACGCATACCAGCAAGAAGGCCAGGGTCACGACCGGGGGTTTGTGACAAATGCAGACTACATTTATAAAAAAGCGAACAGCGCCAGCAAACATGCCCTCACCACGGCCCTTGCGACAAGGCAAAACTCCCCAGATCCACTACCGTGAAACTTAAAGTATCCCATTTATGTCCATTTTGAAAGATATTGACTTTTTGGAGATTCAGGGTTTTCATCAAGCAAGTGTGTGTGTGTGTTGTGAACAGTGGATTCACATGTAAGTTTGTTTGTATCTGTGAATGGTACAGGAACTTTTACTTAGACACAGGAACAAGCTGACCCAGGTGGTAAACCAGGCCAGCAAGATCAATGGACACAGACAATTGCAACTCCAGAATCTATATAATCGGTCCATTACAAAAAAGGCAACCCTGGTCTACAATGACCCTGCCCACCCCCTTCACTCATCATTCCAGCTGTTGCCATCTGACAAGGTCCCATAGCCAATGAGCTCTGCTGCTGCTATGAATTTATTTTAGTGGTTGTTAACGGTTTTATACCGCGTACTGTCTGTTTTAAAATATGCTACCACACTGCTAAAGACACATTTCCATTTTATGTACATTTAATATTTAACTCATATTAATCAAGTAATGTGGAAAATTATATGGTAGGCTACAGCTTTCAAAGGTGTCCCAATCTCAAGGTGTATTGTGGTATGACCCTGTATATTACTAGGTTTGTTGTGCAGTATTCAGTCAACTGTAATACTGTGCTCTGTACTCTAGATACAGTACCTCTGTACTTCACATAAGGGTGTTAGTGTGTATGTCAAGGTATGGTCAGCATAAATGTGCCCACATGCCAGGTCTTGCACATTTAGTGATGCTGTTGATAGTGATGCTAGTGATTGCAGTTTATGTGATATGGATGGTGGCTGTTTTTAAATGTCTGATTTACATTACATTTACTCATTTAGCTGACGCTTTTATCCAAAGCGACTTACAATTGCTATTTATGTCAGAGGTTGCACGCCTCTGGAGCAACGAGGGGTTAAGTGTCTTGCTTAGGGACACAATGTCGAATTGAACCCGGGTCTCTCAAACCAAAGGCAGGCGTCTTATCCACTGCTCCGTCACCACCCCCTACATTTAAGTTGATCGGCCTTTTTCAAAGCAGACCTTTTGACTTGTCATAGTAGGAAAAATACAGGAACCTGAAACCAAAGCAGCAAAATGGAGCTGAGTCATTATTAATTTTATTATGTATACCTGTGCTTTTTCTACTGTGACATGTCAAAATGTCTTCAGTGAAAAAAACGGCCTGACTATGGCCTGACGTTGGAATCATATAAAATATATGGAATCAATATTACACATAGTGAACCCAAGCTTACTGCCGCCTCCATTGACCCTGAAGGAGAAAACTGTGCAGCCAATTTTCAAGTCTACTGAGAGAAGTGACATTTTGGATAGAGCAGCTATATCAACCCTCCCCCACTTCCCCCCACCTACACTTTTTTTAATTCTTTGTCATACACAACACACTCTTTTTACATTGGTTTACTTTGTTTTACACAGCTCTAGACGTTGCTTTTGAATCTAATTCAGTAGCCTATCAGTGCAAAAGGAGAACTGTCTGTTGTAGTTTATGAAGGATTCCAAAAAAGGTCAAATCAAATAATGGTGCACATTTAATAAATATAATTACTGCAAAAGTACATTCAAACTGTTTTGCATATGGAGTGAAAAAATGGCCTGATGTAATGGCTCCTGCTCTCTCCCTTGACAATGACTATAATTAGTAAATCAGGAAACTATGTGGGTCACAGAGAAAAGACAATCTCTCTGACGACCTGTGATGACATGTCTCTGATATTGCGGGTGAGGGACGTTCATTTCAAATTAATTGAACTTTATCTTTAGTGCTCACACTAAAACGGATCCTCATTTTAGAAAAATATAATCATGTCATTCTTATGTGGCTCTTGCAAAAGACTCACCTTTCCAGTAATGTATATAATGTGCTCTATTTGTAAGAAACCAGTTTTATATGCACTGCTCAAAAAAATAAATAAGGGAAAACTTAATCATCGATCAAGTCAATTAAACAATCAATCTGTCCAGTTAGGAAGCACAAGTGATTGTAAATCAGTGTCACTTGTTTTGGTGTAAATTAAAGTGACAACAGATGCATTGGAGAAGCAACAGCCAGACAACCCAAAAATAAGGAATGGTTTTACCACTGGTGGCCACAGACAATTGCTCTTACAATTGTTCTCTAGTTTTGTGTTTTCTGGTGTCCTTGTCACTACTGACAAGTACAGTACATGCACAGGTAGTCCAGACAAATGTTTGAGGTGTCTCCCAGCACACTGCCAGAGCCCTCACAGTGTCTCCAGACTCTTTCACGTCAGGTTCCTCCTGGTGCAGGACTCTGCCAGGCCTCATGTGGCCAGCGTGTGTGGGCAGTTCCTGGATGACAAAAGCATTGATGCCACTGACTGGCTCTCACTTTCCCCAGACCTGAATCCAATTGAGAACCTCTGGGACATTTTGTATTAAGATTGGAGCTTATTGATGCCCTAATCGAGGTCTGGGAGGAGATCCCCCAGGACACCATCTCATCAGGAGCATGACCAGATGTGTTCTAGAGTGCAAACATGGACTTGAGGGGCCATACACACTACTTAGTCACATTATGAATTGCTATGATGAAAGTCATGCAAGTTGGATCAGCCTGTGATTTAATTGTTTTACCTTGCTTTTTTATGGGATTTTGAATCCGGCCCTCAATTGGTTGGTAATTTAGTTTCCATTGACCATTGCTTCATTTTGTTCTATTTTGTTTATCAAGATCTGATGTGTGATGTATGACAGTCAGTGAAAATAATTTCCTTACATTGTAAAGGAAGTGAAACTAATCAGCAGGCTTGCTTCGCTTCATTTGAGATGCAGCAGCAGCATAGTTTCTCCTTTTTTGGTAAAAAAGCAGTGCAGGTAACTATATTGTTCTGCTTGATAACACATGTACTACAATGATAAAAATTTTCTGTATAATAAATTGAGTAATAAGCTATATTACTAATTATAGAAAGGCTGTGAAGTTCTGTGCACAACATAAGAAATTGCTAATCTGGTTTCCTTGTAATGCTTTTGTTAAGTTATCAGATATAGGCTACTTCAGAGTTAGGAATAAATCAGTGACCCTCTTGAGGTCCCCACCTTGCAATGATATGAAAAATGTATATATTTTCTTTACCCCCCCATCACTTTTTGGAACTAATTAAACTAAAATTACGACAGTGCCTAATTAGATATACAAATATTAATGTAGGTAAGTATAAAAAGTAGGTTCGTCTTTCATTGCATGCCAGACGATAACACGCCAAGTTGGCATGTCTGTGACAGGACAGGAATTCATTGCTATCGCCTACCTTGTTACTTTACATCCTATAAAAATGCTCATGTCTGCGGAAATACGTAACCACTTGTGAAAACAGTGTTGACCATAATACTCCTTTACCAGCAGGAGGCGCCCTACAACCGAAACTGCTCAGCGGAATGGCTGCGAGTCTGAAGTTCGTCAAGTTAGCAGAAGGACAGACAAACACCGGAAGGGAAATAACCAATACTTCAAAATGAAATACTAAATTGTGTTTGTGCTGCTTTGTAGTTTATTTATTTCTTGGTTTCACCAGTACATATAATCCTGGTATAATGTTGAGTTAGATCAATTGTAGGATCGTTGCAATATGTTCTATTTGGTCGCATTTTGAAACCCGATATCGATTTTGATATTTTGAGTAAAATGGTTGTTTCAGGAAACAAATGTGCGTACACAGTGGAATAAAAGTTATCGCACATCACATTTCAACGTTTGCTCGAACACCCCAAACATACAGTAAGTCAGACTTTTATTTCGAAAGTTGTACCGGAAACCTCGTTGTACTCGGATTAGCTCGACAGTATTTTGTGTCGTGCCTGAAAGGACTGTGAAGTCTTGCAGCGGTTCAGACAGATCACAGGAGTGACAACTTAACGACGGCGAGAGCTCTTCGTCGGTTTGGTCCTCGCTCTTCCCGGTTATCTGGACGGAGGCGACAGCTGAGCTCACAGCCGCTTCATTTTCCTCGGTGAGACGAGCCCAGCCGCCAACTCCTGCGAGGATAGCTCGGATATTCAAGGACATTTTAACGTTATCACAGCTACTTTGGCCTTTTTTCGCCCCACGGCCGATTGAGGAAACCAACGTGTGCGTCTCCTGCGCAGTGATGTGGTCAGATTTAGTAAACACCATCAGAAACTGCGGTTGATATTGACACACTCTCACACACAGGAGGTAATGATGTGTCTCTGCGTGTCATCTTTGCATGTCGCGCCCGCACCCCTTCCTCTGCCGAAGGGCCAAACAAACGGCGACGTTAAGGAAATCAGTTACTGACTTTCGATGCGTTCATCTCAATTATGGCATCGCTTCCAACCCCAGACCTCATCAAGCCGGCGGCATCTTCGTGCTGAGAGCGAACCGTGTTACTGGTGAAAGCGGCGACCCCAAAACGCGGAGAAAGGCCGATGAACTTTGCGTTACTCTTCAAAACTGCTGAGTGCTGGAGCTTGGTGAAGCCAGAGGTGCATCGCAGGTGTGCATCAGGTCCAGGTATGTGGTGAGCCTTTGCAAACCAACAGTTTGTGATTAACCGTGCTGTCATGTTGCTAGGAAACTAACTGACGGTGGGTTTACTCCAGTTCAGATTTGACCCCCCCCCCCCCCCCACCGGAGATGTAACTTCACGTGTCTTATTTAACACAAGGTTTTTGAACGTCGTGCGCTGTTATAACTCGCCACTTTATCAAGACGCAGCATATTTCTGCTCTCACGCCATGATGGCCTGTTGCATGGTCGTTGAAGCTGATGAAATGTTCCTCTCTCTCTGTCCTCACTGTAAGCTGCTGCTGATACCCAAGTGTGAGAATTTAAACTACGCACAAAAATTAAGGAAGTTTGTGTTAGGTAGATTATTTTTACCAAAATGATTTTTGGCAGAATTATTATTATAATTGTTATTTCTATACTTGCGACAAATGCCAGGTATGACACCAAAGTGTGTGACCTATCAGATTTTGTGACCCAAATGGCAAGTTAAGTGCCAGAGGCTTTCGTTGACGATGTGAAGTGGTTGCAGTTTGGTTGGGTTTAGGTACCGAAAGTAATTGTTTATGGTTAGGAAAACATCGTCGTTTGGATGTAGTCACAGAATCTGATAGGTCACACATTTTGGTGTTACACCTGTTGAAAAAAGGGATGCCGTGCCACAGCAGTGTGTGACAGTCATAAGGAGGAGGTGCCAGGCTGTTGTGGCTGTGTATGGTTCTTTCACATGCTACTGACCACCCTGTTAGATAAATGAATACATACATGTTAAATTGCTAATATGTCTTGTGTCTGCAGACTTAAATCATCCAATCAACCAAACAAGAGTCAAGAGCAAAGAAAAGCTCAGAGAAGATTTGGCAAATGTTTCACAGGTGCAACCCACATACTCAGCGCTGCTGCTCATCCCATGCATGTTCCTAAGTGGCACAATTTAAAAAGGGACATAAACCTACCAAACACAAATGTCCTTTCTTTTTGTGTGTAATTTAAGATCCTTTTGCAAATGACTGTATGTTTGACTATTGGCCTAAGCCAGAAGTGGCTCACTTGAAGGCAAGCCCAAATTTGACTTTGAGGTTACAGTCAGCTTGTTTTGACTTAACTAAAAACCTGCATGCCACAAGCTTGCTTTTGTATCCCCCAGACTTATTGCTATTTTATGAGTTTCAGCATCAAGAGTCACTCCACTTGACTCAGCAGGGCCTGGGTGAGTCACTGAGACAGTGCTTACTTGGGGGCTGTGGCCAAATGATGGCTCTGCTTTGAGGGCAGGAGGTCCACCGTGACCCCCCCACCTCATCATGTGTCCAACATCGCAGTGTGTCTTTAAATTGGAATTGCAATCTGAGACTAGGTTTGAGATTGATCTATACTGATAAGAACACTATTAAGCCTGCACTTGTATGTTGACATGAGGCACATGCAGAGAAAGGTGATCGTTTTGTTTCTGGGCCTGAAGAACTCATCTGCACACAGGGTGTAATCTGTCTTTGATGTGTTGAAACTTGCGTCCTGCCTCCTTGGAGCTGTACCGGGTGTGCGAGTTGCAAAAATTAGATTTCATGCATTCTTTCCCTGACCTGAATTATAAGCAATCTGTGCTTTCAGATTGTTCCCTTCTGAGTCACTTAGTTTTGACTTGTTGACAGACTTGTTACTTATGTTCCTCATTTTTGATCTGAACCACGGATTTCCAGAAATGATTACCACACAAAAGCTGTCGATGACGAGCAGGATATTTTCCATTCATTTTGTGTCAGTGCAGATCTGATGATTAAGTGCAGAAGTCACTAGTGATCATCCAGAATTCAAATCTTCCTCACGTGCAGGGAATGTTTATTGCTAGGATTGTATTGATACTACTACTCTTGTGATTGTTGGTTATTTTTCATGACTAAAAATGGCTTTTAAAATATAAATATTATATAAAAAAATATTGCATTCAGAACAGGATTAGAATAGTTTAAATATAACTAAATATTTCTAGAGCAGCAACATAATGTTAAACAATGTCTCTATATAAACTTAATATCTCACTGTAAACAAATTTTAAATTCTAATAAATCACATTCCTCACAAAAGACAAAGAATGGGGGAAAAACCCCGTCAGTATCAGTCCTTCCTCCTCCCCCTGCTGCTGCCCACTGCCTGCAGGTAAAGAGAAGAGGTGCTGGTTTGTCTCAGCCTGCAGCAAAGTTTACAAGACCGTGCCAACTTTTAAAAGGTACGTGGCAGACTAAACTTAATAGCGAATTTAAAACTACACACAGACAGCTTTCGTTTTAGCATGTTTGTACCAACTCGCCAACAAGCACGCGGCGGTGGACGAGAGACCGAGGACAGAGCAGATTAAAATATCGCTTTCTACATGTTTATGTTTGAAGATCCGGCGTATTGATTAAGTACTGGCTTTGTACCAAGGTTTGAAGGTTTTTGTTACACGTACTTGCAGTAAGCAGCGTGGTTGTGGTCGACTCGAGTGATCTTCACTTCTCCGTCTGCTCTGCTGCTCGCTGTCAGAGGAGCAGGACAGGAACTTAGGCGTGTTAATAAATTACACCAACACGTTAAAAAGCGCGGATTAAAAAGGCGTTAACTCCCGTTGTTGTCTCTACTACTGTGTTTAATAAATAAGGCCCGGGGCCCGTTTAATACTGGGTTTCATTGCCCTCTCCCTGCTCACGTGACTGCGCACTGCCTTCATTACCAGTTTACCAGTTATGACCTTTAAGATAGTTTAAGTTTCTCTTCTGTAGACATGGCAGCTCATCTGCCTAACAAGTTTTCTGACTGGGTATTCCTCCCCCCCACACACATACGTAGACACCACTCACATGCAGGACATGGGCAGGGCAGTGTTTACAATAATCTAGTTTATGACCTTTATGCTTAAGAGAATTTTTTGTTTGTCACTGAAGACTGTTTATTCCTACATCCATAATTGTAACTGAATGAAAGTATAGAAGTACTTGTAAAATAAGTAATTGAATTGCATGTTTCTTTTCGGATTATTGACAGTATTTAATATTGCAATTTGTTAAGTCTAGTAGTGAATAGTCTGAATTGGGCCCAATGTCCCAGTGTCCAGCTGGACACCTAAGCTCCCAGAGTGTAATTGACATCACCCCTGTGCTCAGTGAAACTGTGAATGAAGGAGAGTACAAGGACTAAAAGCTTTCACTGAGGAAGAGGATCACATGTGGTCAATAAAATGCAAGCCTTTTATTTTGTATATCGTTTAGGAAAATGAGGTCCTACTTTCTGATTAAATGGCCTTCATATTACTGCCATGTTGTTTAATACTGTATTGTTTTCGATCAGATTTAAAACGGTACAATCAGCATGACTTCACAAAGCAAAGATCTACACAGACTTCTTGCTGTGATGTGTTCTTTCCCTGTTTTGTTTAATTTGTCTTTTCATCGTCATTCTTAGCATGGGAACATTATGAATTGTGGGTAATTCCCTCAAGGAAGTTCTGCTTGCCATGCAGAAGGGTGCACATAGGGCATAAAAAGTCTATGCGAGAGCTCACTAGCACTCACTGATTTCATGGTAGTCACAAATATACGTTGTGGGTCTATTTGCAAGTCTGTGAATGCAGGCATTAGGACTGGGCCGTGATGTTGTCTAATCGCTGGAATCATATTTGCGGTACTTTGTCATTTTAATTTTTTTAACTCCTTAAGGGCATAACACATAACACAATAGGCCTTTATACTCTTTTAGGTTAAGAAGCTTCTTTTTAATGTGATATTGTTTTTAAGTACACCTAAAGCAGTACGTGCCTATGTTATGATTGTTGTGAGTACATTTAAGTTAAACTGACAAAAACTATGAGGTTGGATGATATAGTTACAATCTGTGATATCCCTTGCTCAGAAAATCGCTCACCAGAATCTTTTGGTAACCAAGTCATTTTAACAGATCTCGAATATTAATTCAGTTATAAATATTGTATGAGTTATTTTCTGGAAAAAGATAATTGTAGCTTAAGGATTGCAAATGTATTTGCAGTTATGTTTGTTTTTGAAAGTTTTTTTTGTTTTTTGTTTTTTCTAGGATAACCATAAATGGACTTTTATATTTGTCGTTTTTGTTCATGTAGGCAGAGCATTTCTTAACTGAGGCATAATATAGGCATGTTTAAAAAAAATAATTATCATGTATTAATGCATCCACGTAAAGTCAAGGATTCTTACAGGAAGACAGTAGTTGAGAGGCTGAAACCTGATAGCTCTTAAACTCTCAGATGTCTCTCTTGACTCTAACACACCAGACAAACACAGTATCAGTGAATGTGAATCAGTCTGTTGTCTGTACAGTTGTGAGATGTGGCTAGTGAAGTGTTTTTGTTCCACGTTGAATTAAAGCAGTTCTCATGCTGTTTCTAAGCCAACGCAAAAAGTAAAGTGGAGACACTGTGGTGACCTCTTTGATCAATGAGGATAATAATTTCCAACTGCATTCATATACTATCCTAATGTTTGCTCATTTGTGTCACACAGGTCTCTTTCCCCAAGACTAAAATTACCCACCACTCCACTAATGTTATACAGTTACAGGAGAGCCTGACAACCTGCTGATGGTCAGGAGGAATATGTAAATATATACGCTGTATGTCTGAGTGATTGGAGTGGAAAATTCCTGACAGAGAAGCCTGTAGCTTGTGAGCATGCCTTGTCCCAGCCTTATTTCAGTATTCATTGCACTACATGGAATCTATGTGGGTAATTTTTGATTTGTACTATATACTACAACCCTCAGTTTGCTTATGATTGTCCTCCAACCTAAGTCAATAATCCTGTCGCTAACATATGACGCACAAATATACAGACATTGAGGAGTAATGTCTTTTAGCTGAGGAAACATGACAAAACACACTTCCTGTCAGTTAAAGTTTAAATGACGTATGTAGCTGCTCACCACATCTTTTGGTTCAGTGTCTGTACTATTTGAGCTACTTATCAGATGAGATTGCTGGCACAGGAAGAGCAAAGAAACATCATTACAAACACAGTAAAATGAGCTATGGCTTTTGGGGAGAGTTATCTAGGTAAATAAGTTTGAAGATTCAGCATGGTGTAGCTTCAACTGCTGGAACATACAGTACACGTTGCACTATATGATATAATCATAAATTCACTTGCCTGTTTGTGTGGTAATTTGACATTTTCTTAATCTTGTTGCTCAATCTTCGTTGATTTTAGTAAAAACCTGTTGTGCAATATTGCTATGTGTAATTTCTCTGTAACATTTAATACAGTTAGGTTATTTAATCACAGGATTAGTTCTTTACTTAGACCAGACTGTGGACTATTTTGGAAGTTTACTGCATGCTAATCCCCTGTGTATTGTATCCCAGCCATCACACACACAGAATCACTCACTCCCACCCAAAACAAGGTGGCAGTATAATCTTAAATGCTAGCTGATAAGATGCAGTGGATAGGGACAGAAATGGATCAAGCTATTAATTGGAATTGTAATTTCCCTTTTCTATAGGCCTATTAGATGCCTAGTACTGATTTTATTTATAAAATAGGCAAACTCATGCCCCTTTATCTCTAGTTTCTCAGAGTTGGTGAATTGTTGTTTACCAATTCCCTCTGATTGCTTCGTTTTAGGTTTTTAGAAAAGTCAGTTTATTTCACAATTTCACATGAAATCTGGGAAAGCAGATTGTTAAATAAGCTTGCAGAAAATTACTGAAGGTATTAAACGGGATTCACAACAACCCTTTATGTTATGTTGGACTGTATAGTCAAAATTATTTTCCCACAGCTGATAACTCCCGGGTACAAAGACTCATGTCATGTTGGAGTAATTTCTTTGACATTTAAAAGAGACTGATTTTTATGGGCACTGACAACACCGGAGGGGATATTACCAAGTTATAAGTGCATTTTCTGTTAAGAACTTTTATAACCATGCTGAAATGACATACTTAATTATCAACAAACCTGCTTTATAAAATATCCTTTGGTCTTTATTGTCTGTCAGAGGACATGACTGTTGTTGTTTGGTTAGCAGTACTAGAGCAGGAAATGGCAGTAGGTAAATGTCCTGGCGGTTGATCAAGGTTTGTCTGTCAGATATGTGGTATTTCTATTAATGTTAACATTTGCATAATAGGCTACTAAGTAAATAAAGTTTAGTAAATAAGTAAAGTTTATTTAATAGAGACTCTTTTACAGATCAAGGTCATAAAGTGCTTTTATTTAAAAAGTTAGAAAAAAGACCGTCAGAAAAGTAAAGAAACAACAATAAAACATAAACATCAAAAACAAGAAAATAATCTGTCAATAAAACAATAACAAATGAAGATTTCATACTTTAGACAGCACATGTCGAGAGAAAGTCCAGTTTAAACAAAATAGTCTTCAGCTCTTTTTTTTTTTTTAAAGGAGTCAGCAGAGACTGCAGAATGTATGTCTAAAGGAAGAGAGTTCCACAGATTGGGCGCCACCTTTTCAAAAACACAATCACCTTTTGTTTTTAGTCGAGCACTCGGAACAACTAGGAAGCCCTGGTTTGAAGATGGAAATGACGTAGTGGTGATATAGGGGTGGAGCAGGTTGGAGATGTACCAAGGTGCCTGACCATGCAGGGCTCAATATGTAAAAACGAGAACCTTAAAATGAATCCTAAGCCTGATGGGGATCTAATGTCACAATGACAGGATGGGTGTGATGCGAATTGTTTTCCGAGACCTTGTCAGCAGCCTTGCAGCAGTGTTCTGGATCATTTGTAGACGGTCCTGGCATGACGTGCTGAGGCAGGTGAAAATAGAGTTACAGTAATCTAACTGGGATGATGTAAAAGCGTGAATGATCATCTCTAATTCGGGTTTTGATATAACAGATTTCAGTTTTGCAATGCTTCTTAAATGGACGAAACATGAAGCCTATGGAAGAAACATGTATGGGTGAATGATTTGACATGTACATAGATTGGTCAGATATAACAGTTTTTTTAAGGTTTGACTGCACAGCTGAAGACAGTGTCCCAATACGCCAAGCAACCATGGGAGCTATGCTGTCAAAGGCAACAATAAAGACCTATGTCTTAACTGTGTTAAGTTGTAGATAGTTATTATCCATCCAGTCCTCGATGGCGGTCAGGTAACTGTTCATTGCAGTCAGCTTGTAAGTTTCGTCAGGCATAAAGGAGACATATAACTGGATATCATCAGCGTCATAAGATATGTCTTTAAATTTGCTAGTTATATGATGTTTTCTTGTCTGCCTGGATGCTGCCATCTTGCACAGTTGTGCTATTGTGTTGACAAAATCTGTCCACAGACAGACAAACTCCTGGCAAAGTACTTGTGGTTGTGGTTGTTCCCGCTACAGTAGGTGTCTCCAGGAACACATTTTATCGTGATGACACACGCACGCACGCACGCACGCACGCATAGAGATTTACAAGGTGAAAACAACAATGACAAGGCAAGTGTTTTTGTGTAGTGTATTTCAACGAGGCAATTCTAAATACTTTAAATAACATATAAAAGCAACACAGGGCAATATTAAAAGACATTTAAATACAATTGAATAAAAGCAAAAAAATTAAAACTGGAGAGTAAAAGTTAAATGTAAGATATTAATCAATAGCCTCACATTTAATCTAATAAAAGGCAGTGGAAAAAGAACCGAGAGTTTCAGCAGAAATGCAGTTTTCTGGGAGTTTGTTCCA